CAAACTTTTCTCAGAAAAAAATCGGCGCGCCAAACAGCTGCTTGGCAAGCTTGCCCGTAGCACCTGCAAGCGGTGGGTTGGGGGTAGGAGAAAAGCTTCGCAGTTGGCAATGTACCCAGTGGAGCAAAAGCGCTCACCTAGAGTCCAAAATTTGCTGGGCGTTGAGTCTGTCACCCAGTCAGCAAAAGAGTCTCCACTGTGACAGTGAGTGGGCGTCGGTGGTGGCCCGCCAAATGCTGCGTAGCTGGATTAGAACTTTCTCACCAGGAGTATATGGTGCCATGCCAGGCCTCTCAGTAGAAGACGCGTGCATGCCGCTTCAAATAGCAATTGAACAGGCGCATGACTCAGGTGACCCGATCTCAGGCCTTCAATAGACCTCCGTAAATGTTTCAACTCCCTCGCACGTATTCCTTCGAACATTTTGCTGGACAAACTTGGACTCCCCGGGTCAAATCCTTGCCACTTGGTTTTTTAGTCTGGTCAAATTTACGCGAGTAATACAAATCGGAGATTCGCTCTCTGACACAATCACCTCTACCGCAGGGGTCCCAGAAGGGTGGTAGTCATCACGGCATTCGCGTGGCAGCAGCTGCAACAATGCATCAGCAAGGGGTAACTCCCTTGACCTACTATGATGACTGGGGGTGGTATACCACTGACTTCTATCAAAACCAACCGACCCTCCAATCAATGATCCATTTTTGCACACTTGCAAAACTCAGTTTTTCAATTTTGAAAAATCCTGGGCGTGGTCTACCAATGGACCGCAACGCACCAAATGGAAATCAATCCTTGATCAAGAGCTTCCGCAAGGAACTCGCGTGCCAATTCTGAATGAGTCCGTTGAACTGGGCAGAGTCTTCAGATATGCTAAGACCCACGGTCTTGGATCCACGGGGCAGAGACTTTTAAATTCCGGATACAGACTTGACCGGGTCCATGGGATACATACAAGCATTGATGTAGTTGCCCAGCAAATGCAGACTGTCATTTGGCCGCTAGCATTCTTTGGATCTCCTTTCACACCACTTGGATATCACCACTTTGAAGAACTCCGCACTAAGTGTACTAGGGCGATGCTCAACCAGCCAGAATCGCATGCCTCGCCATGGCTTACCACTAACGTGCTTTCCGCCAGATTGCAGGACCCCGAAGAACTTGTACATATCATAATATGGAGGAATCTTAAAAGATACCTCTATAAGACTCCGATAGTACAGCAGAACCAGCTCCTGTTTGCGATTGCCATGCACACCGGTGACTACAAAAAGATTCACGGCCCTGCCGGTGTTGCAAAACGCTCAGTCAACCGACTTAAATGGACAATCCTAGATACTGGACATGCGATCACATCAGATGAGGTTAAACTCCATGTCCCCATTGTGCCGTGGCGTCGCCGCTGTCAATTCTTGCATAGCTCATGGATGAAAATTGTAACTGAGCAAATCCGGCACAGAAAGGAGTGTGACGGCATTGCCACACTCAGTCGGTCGGCAACATCAAAAGCACTGTGTGGCATTGAGCCATCACTCCAGCGCACAGCTGCACTGCAGATTGTAGGTGGCTACTCATCCCAAGCTAGAAAAGCAGGATGGAAACGTAACATTTCACCCAGATGTGAGCTATGTGGTGAAATCGCCTGCTTTCGACACTCCCTATTCGAATGCTCAGCCATGCAGGATACCTATCTTAGCAATGACCGTGCCACAATTGAACCGGAAAATCAAGACAGAATCTGGAGAATCCCGGTGGCTGTAACAAGCCCCAGTGCTACACTCTTAAAATTCACATCAGAGCATATCCATGAAGGAGAAATCAACGATGCTAACCTCCGACTCTTACGAGGCATCCAGCACACTCCCCATATCTTTATTGATGGGAGTGGATACCATCAAACATCTCCGGCAGCACGATCCTCAGGTTGGGCGATCGTGCTATCAACCGCCGAACTGCACGAACGAGAAGACCTTGCAAGGATGTATAAACTCTCGAGGGTAATCCTCCACTTTTAAGGTGATTGCTATGGCGCAGACTAAAGGAGATCAGACGGTAACCAGAGCCGAGCTCCAAGCGATGGGTATTGCCTTGGAAGCTCGCCCGGACAGTGTAATATACACTGATTGCCAAAGTAATATCAACTTGTGGAACTTGGTGGCTGCACGCGGACCAAATGCCTTCTATATGGATAAAGCTAATGAGGATCTGGTCTACAGACTTGCTAAAAATCCTAGACCGCCTCAGCAAATGGTTTACAAAGTGAAGTCACACGTGCACTCGTTAGGTGTGCAGGACCATGTGCAATCATTCATTCACTTGGGAAATGAAATTGCTGATACCGCAGCAAAGCACGCAATTGGAACCATTCCAATGCCGCTCCGCCAGGAATCAGCACAACTTTTTCAAGCTGAGAAAAATGATCAATGCACCCTAGGTAAGGTACTTACCTACGCGGCTCAGATAACTATAACTTATCTTAAGCGTGTGGCTGAATATGAATCACAAAATGGAGTGCGATTGACTAGTAACCAAAAATTCCAGATCATGCAAAATTGGAACCCACCTTGCACCAGGTACACAGTGCTTATACCTCAGGAACTCAAAGAAGCGTGCGTGTGGGGAACCGCCTTTTGTGAATCAATCCAAGCTTGGTTGCAACAACTTCAGTGGCCGCTGCATCCGGTCCCAGACGACCCTGGGATAGCTTGGCTTGAATTGTTTATCAACTGGCTTGTGTGCTCAGGAATGGAAATTCCTAGAGTTTTAAAACCCTCAAAAGATGAATTAGCGAAATTACCCAAAGACACTTACGCCATACGAACATCTCAGCAGGACCCGACAGTGCTTTTGCTGCCGTTCACTTGGACGCAGGCTGCTAAAGACTTCGAGGGAGCCATCCGTGTTATACAGCGCCGAGTGGAAAATGAATTCCTCCCTTGGAATAAACGCGTAAAGGTTAACACTCTTCTCATCTATGGATCAAAAACAAAAGTCTCTGGGTTTTCTACAAGACCCATTTTACCTTTGCAAGATCAAACAATGAAAATGATGCTTAAAGGCTACACGAGTGGCCCAGAAGATGTGATCCAAAATCTGCCGCTCCAACATACTTGTAAGGTAAACATGCAGCCCAAAGAGTGTCAAGAAAGCCGATACGAAAGATTCTTCAAGTGGAGAAAACTTCAGGACTCAAGTAAGGGTGCGCGGAAATGGCATTGAATTCACACGACTTGGTGAAGATATCTTTGGCAGTGGGCACGCCTGGCCCTGCACACCCTGCCCCATAACATACTAAGCTTTCTTTACCAATTGCATGCCGTGAACACTTCAACTTGTAACCTTGGACACCCGTGTGTACATAGCTTGCCTAAACGGGTTGGAACAATCAAAGCCTGCAACGCACGTGCACCTCGCATGTGTGTTCTGCAACTTCTCAAGCCCGATTTTCATTGCTTGCTAGCGCGCAGAGCCCAAATTGATGCTACGAACGGTGCAGACTTTTGAAATGCACCCAGCCCTGCGGCATACTTGTATACCCGTGTGTACATAGCTTATTAAGACGGGTGCTTAACGGAACAATGCACAAAATTATGAGCAGTAACTCCATGGCTAAGTGACGGAGGACTCAAATGGTCTTGTATAGCCCGTAGACTTTCCCAAAGACACTGCCACCGCACAACAGTACTTGAGCAACCACACCATTGTGGTACCTTTGAGATGCCATCCGGCGATATCTCGAATGCTTGAGCTACGCCGCCTGCCAGCGCACTTCTTGAACCTGCTCCTGAGGAGCGGCCGGCTTTTGGGCCCCTTTTTCGTTTTCCGCTGCCGGCTGGGCAACACACCCGGCTGGCGTTTCAGCGAACATGAACTGGTTCCTCTCTGCGCAAGCTGGGGGGGGCCACCAAAAAATAAGGGTGTGGACAGTGAGAGGCAGCGTTGGATCAACGTTCAAGACTTGAGTTCTGAACTAGGGCCTAGGGACGTCTCTGAACATTCCGAGAGAGGCCTGGGCTTGTCAGCGGCGCTTCTGCACTAAAGCCATGGCAACTGCTTGCCCTAGTCCAGCTCCAATAAATTTTTGAATGAGCGCCGCAGAAAGTCCAAGATAGAACGTGGGCTTGACGGTTTTGAAGGCAGTGGCTGCTAACTTGCACTGTGCCTGCGCTGGATTGCTCATAGCTTCTCAATTTGTGCCGAAGAGTTTGCTGTGTTGGTCTTGTTGTCTCTTTGTGTGGTTCTGGTTGTTTTGGTGTTTGGTTCGCTGCACCTGCTTTCTCTGCGGCAGTACGTTCATTTGCACGTCTACTCGTCAACTCATACGTCCACTCGTACGCCTACTCGTCCATCCGTGCGTCCAGTCGCTTGATACATGCTAGGCAAAAACTGAGACTTCGAGGAATATGCTAGCCATATGGCAAACACGTGCTAAACGTGCGCTGAAAGGGCGTTAGGAGATGCGACAAACTGCTACAAATATGCTGGCCGCGGTAAAAATGCTAGAGCGTCCTACACATAGCAAAGCAACAGGAAATACCCCAGAAGCAAGCGATCAATGCTAGACACTGATAAAACAGCTGGATACCTTAGCTGAATCCAAGACATCGTAAACTGAATGTTGAAACTGTACGTGTGGGCGTGCGAGTAGCGGACGTATGAGTGGACGAGCAAGCGTACGAGTAGGCGTACGAGTGGCCGTACGAGTGGACGTACGCATTCCTATACTGTGCCTAGATCTGGTCTACAATATGCACGATACATATTTTCAGCATAGACCTTGCTGCGCAATCCTATCATATGCGTTGAGTGTTTCTAGCACGTAACTGAAAAAACGCAGCTCAGCTTGGGATTGTATTTCCAGCTCAGTTTCAGCACATGGCTAGGTTTCAATCCTGGTTGCAGTCTTGCAAAGCTTCTAAACATGGGAATTGTGTTGGGACATGCCAAAGTTAAAGACCTCTTTTGGACGGTCCGTTTCCACTGAACTCCTCTCCGCGGAGGAGCCTGCGGGACCACTGTGGCTCGCAAAATGCTCGGTGCCCAAGTTGGGTCGCGGCAAGTCTCGACACCGCGCTTCTAGCCACGTGATTTGCAGAAGGCAATCCGTCCATCATGGCAAGTGGTTCCTAACACAACACCCAATTGCGCAAAAGCCGCTGCTGGCCTTTCGGAAAGTCACATTGAGTTCCATGGTTTTTCAGCTTTGGGCTCAGCAGCAGAGTAGTCTTGCAAAGCGGCATTTTTGCTTTTAGTTATGCAGTGATACTTTGTTTTTGTGACGAGGCTGAAGGCTCCAAGCTCATGGCTTTCTTCCCCCGGGCTTGGGGCCTCGGAGTTCGGAGCGTTGGAGCGTCCCGGTCTCCAGTGCCATAGTTGCAATGATGCCGATGCTTGGTCTTTAAGAGTCTTTGAAGTCGGGGAAGCATGAACAGAGCCAAACCACATGCAGAAAAAACAAGTAGCACACTGCTTCCACTTTTGCCGACTCCCGCATTGCTTCTCCGAACTGCGCTGCCTCTCGCCTGAAAATCCGCCAGAGCTACGACCTGCGCAGCAGCCGGGAGTTGCAGGCCTTCCTCCTGGACTTTGCAGCCGCGGCCCCAGGGCGCTCGATGGCTCGAGTCTTGACAGACAGAGAGCGGGCCATTTGTTTGAGGCCTGCAAATGTTTGACATGGGACATGGGGCAAAAGGGACTTGGTGTTGACATGAGCGAGTGGCCTCAAAGCGGATCTTGTCAGGAGTAGTCCACTTCAAATGAAGTGCCGTTTCTGCCATGAGAGACAGGTTTGTACCTGGCCGAATTGCGGTGCCAGCATTCAAAGGTGGATCGCACAGGACCCGTGGCTTTTCTGGTCGCACCTATGGGTGCCTCTTTTTGGTTGGTTTCAAGGGAAAGCAAACGGCAGCCATCATTTTGTGGGGTCCCTTCCAAAAAGCACCCACCCACATCTGGCTTGTAGCTTTTGTGTCAGGTGACCCGGGCGGAGTCGGTGCTGCGGGGCAACGAGACGTCCGCAGGCTGAGCACGCCTTCCGAAGAAAGCAAAGGGGCACGGGCAAGGCTTCGTGGAGGTTTGGTTTCAAGGTTCATGGGCACGGAGGTCTGACCGGCAGGTCTTGGTGAGTTTCCGACACCCGTGATACACACGTGCATCCCCTCTTTGGCCTTTGCCCATATGCTACTTCTGTTATAAAGTTATAGTCAACATTGCAATGAAGATGGTCACCCAGTTACCCATCTCACATGATGTATGTAAATCGGGAAGAGAGGCACCTTGAGGGGGCCAAACAGAAGCTCTATTTTTGCCCTGGTGAAGACATCGTTCAGGTGTCGCCTGCGCTTGTTCCTTTTCCTTGCCTTGGCCATTCCGCGTCTTCACACCAGATTTGTTCAATCTAACAACCTATCATTGCTTGTCTTCAAATCACATGTTGAGATGATGCCTTCCCTTGCTGGTGCTCAGCAGGAATGACCTTCCGGGTGTTGGGAATGAACCTAGGGATTCCCTTTTGGAAACAACCAGTTGGATGGTTTACAGGGCTTATTCCATTTCTCATTCCCTGCCTATCGATCCAGCGATTCATAGATGGTGAATCTTTATAGGGGACCCTTTGGTGGACATCATTTGGGTCCCGATTCATGTCCACCAACTTTGGAGGTGGTGCCCTATTTTGATTCATGGCAAGATCTTTTTCCCACTGGGCCGGGCTCCCTTTCCCCCGCTTTTGCGAAGCCGCCGCGCAGGGCTGCTGCAGGCCTGCCGCTTGCTGGGCCGGCTCTCTCATGCGCAGGCCGGGCCCCTACCTGTGACGTTGCTGTCGGTCACCGCCCTGCTTAGGCTCTGGGCTTCTTCAGGCAGAGTAATGGTCAATATCTTAACCAAAGTCCCAAGCCATTTGAGGTGAGAAGCTGACCATGGCACACTCTCTCCGAATCTGAGCACTTTGTGCTGGGGACGGTTTTGGAACGGTTTTGGAGGGGTTATCAAAGTCAGCAACCGGGGCTGTTTCTCTTTAACCTACCACTTAGGGGGTGACGTTAATAATGGAAGACTATAGTGAAGAATAACGAGGCCAGTTGTGGGCCAATTAGCGCCTTGGTGCAGGTGTGCCAAAGCGAGGCGCTCTGCGCAGGCCACTGCAGTGTTCTCGGCAGAACTTGTCAATCCGAGCGTCAGCCACCTAAGGCTTTTGCTGGTGATAGACGTTGGAAGCCTTCCATTTGGTGGGTGCGTGCACTTTTAATCCGTGAGGACGGCATGTTTGGCCGAACCTTTTGACATTCTTTTGGCATGGCAGCTATAATCAACTGGTGCTGCTTTGAGCAGGGAGTGTTCCCTTGAATGCTTGAGTTCACGCCAAATAGTATTTCAGACAGGCACCGGTCCTCCTTTTGTTCGTCCCACTGCCGAGCCAAGGTCTTGCTTTCTGCAGCTATAGTTTGGCGCTCACTTAGAGCTTACGTGAAGAAGCATATGCCTTCGTCTCGGAGTTGCAAACGAATTGAATTCAGGAAGAACACAACGGACATGAAATGTCGGGATCGGTCCGGCAGCCAGCTCGGGTGCAACATCTATCGCAGGCTCTTTCCGCAGCAGCCAGGAAGGGGAGGGGGGATCGGGCGATTCGACCAGTGCGAGACACGATAGCACCGGCATGCGGCTATTTCGCGGAAGGCAATGAGACACTTGGTTCTGCGACAAAGCCACTTCGAATGTATGTGCAGCGGGGAAGCTGTGTGGCAAGTCTGACACTATTGCAACGTGGGAGACTGCCGTTGATTCACTACAGCAAATCATACAGAGTGTTGGTACTTTTCCTGTTTGTGGACGGAGTAGGTTGAGTATCCGAAGGGCTCTGAAATGCTAGACGTTAGAGCATGCAATGCAAGCCTCAAGTTGCCCTCGTGGACCGGCGTGACAAAGAAGGTTCGATCACTGGTTTCTCCAGCAACCACAAAAGCACTCAGGAGATCGGAAACTGAACACCTACAGATCAGTTTACAAGTCCATGAGTGCTGGTGAGTTGTGTTAGTGCTTGGAGCTCTTGTGACGTGTGCCGTTTCCCTTTTGCAGGACTTGGTGGGCTTCACTCATGAAGATGAGCACGGAACCTGAGAGCGAACTGGTCAATATCCAGATTCAGACTTCGAACCTTGAACATTTGGTGACCCTCCAGCGAAGCCGAAGCTGATCCAAGCAGACTGGATGGATCGATCAGCAGTGCAGTGGTCTTTTTTCCCACTTCAATTTCCAACTTTCAGTTGCGGTGACCAGATGGATTTCCACAACCTTTTGCCTCCCGCCCAAAACAAAGATCAGCTCCCGGACCCTCTGTTCGGCCTGGCCAGAATCGCCCTTTGTGACCATCAAACCTTGGTATTGCAGGATGGTCAATGAGCCAGGCCAGGGAGCAGTCTCACCATGAATGTTGGTACAGCTTGCCTGGCAATCGCTTGTTTCCCTCTCCTTGCAGATTTCTTGAGGATTCAACGAGATAGCCTGATCCAGCAAAGGTCACTTTCCGCCGCTTGAGTAATATCGTAATACCCTCAAGCCCCGGGGAGCATGGCGAGAGTTCGCAGAGATGGCTGTGGCTCAAAGAGAGAAAATCATGGGTCAACACCAAGGGTTAACAGAGTATATAATCCCTTTGGATACTAATATGCACATGCTCACATGCAAGCAGCTTTCACAAGCAAGCCGATCCATAAACGCGGCACGATCAGGACTCCTCGCTGCGATCAGTGAAGCAAACACGGTTCTAGCCGGCTTTGCCTCTCCCAATCCATACTATGGACGGAATCCTACACCAACTCGGATATCCAAGGATGCCCTCAGTATGAATGCTGTGTATTGTGATGAGTTCAGGGAGATGGATATTCATCCGAATTCAATGTGTTCCCAGCCTTCCAGATACCCTTTCTCAGCTGAATTGATCTCTTGGAATGTTTGTGTTCTCAGGTGGGTCTTGCAGCCAGGCAAGGACCTGTGGGCGACAGAGCGGCTTGATTTGAAGCCATGTGCGTTGCTTGTGCAGAGAGTGCGTGCACCACTCTTTCGTATTCCGAGGGCCTGTTGCTTGAGTTTGTCCTACCTAAGCTGTGCGTGGCAATGCTGGGGTAGGGGTGGGCTGAAACAGCTCGAGACACATTTTTTTTTGCCAATTCGCCGCACTAAAGGTTCCTCAGTCAGTAGGTCTGTTTTGGTCAATTTTGCACATGCCAGGAATGGTGGGCTCGATTCCCGCTGTCACCGTACAATCAGTGCCTTGCTTGCTTGCTTTTGTTCCCGCCACTCAAGTTACACTTCAGAGCGATTTTCTTCATGTCTCTTCTTTTGTGGCAGTCTTTTGAGACCTTTGAACTCTCAGATGCTATACATGTCTGAAGAAGTGTCTGTGTTTGTCTCTCTCTCTCTCTCTCTGCCTCGTATCGCCTTCCTTCCCCATCAGCAGCATCATCACCATCAGCATTTCCGTTGCTTTCGTGCTCATGACCGTCGCCATTCCATCACTGCGTCTGTCGCCAGTCAGAATCACCATTGTGACCCTCAGCCCTCGCACGCTTGAGTCAGCATCCATGAGATCTCTTGAAGCTCCGGAACCGGCCCTTTAGTTCCACCACGAAACAGACCAGAGGCGTTCCCGAGACCTTGTCGACCAGAGGGGTCTTTGGGAAGTTCCCGCCTTGGATCCCATCGCAAGGTGGCAGCCCAGCTGCAGCCGCGCAGGCGCAGGCGCGGCAAAGTGCAAGCAGCGCTTCCGATTGAGATATTTCTGAGCCACCAAGCCTCCAAGAGATTAGGTTCACAAGCAGGGTTCTTCAGTGAGAAACCCGTGCGAGATCTCAGAGGCAGTAAAAGCCAAGCCCCTGCCAGGCATTACTGGCGCGCGTGGCCTCCGACACAGAGGCCGGAGCTCTGGCTGAGCTCCGCAACGTCGTGAGCGCAAGTTGTTTGGGTTGTGAACCCTTTGTATTGACGGTCATGGCAGTTCTGAAAAAAAATACAACACATGGGAGAATATGCTTGAGCAATGCGCGCACAGTCAGAAAGACACAGTGTCACACAAGGCTGATCAGCCTGCTTCTGTCTGCTCTTGCAATGCGCACAACGTTGTTCTGTGTGTCATTTCCCAATCATCAAGTCAAGCCATTCCCTCTTCAGCACCATTATACAGTTGTGTTGGTACGACACAATCACTCCAGGGTTGTGACTAAAGATTGTTGCTGGCTGTGTGTTGAAGGCAGGACATTTTTTGGGGACTTGTATTTTTTGTCTGACCACCACGCGTGTCCTATTGTGGTCCAGCTAGCAATGTGCTTTGGTGAGTTGAATCAGTTCCTTTTACATGTTTTGAATCTAGTTGGGTTGCTGGCAAAAATGTGGGGAGAAGTGTTGGGGTGAACACTCACAAGGAGACAATGGTGTGCCCCGCAAAAGCTGCCAGGAGGGCCTGTTGGCATCGGCTGTGACGCTGGAGACTCGCTGGTGGCAGATGGCCCCAGAACTAGCGAATAGGGGATCGGCGCGATTGGATTGAGAAGCTCCAGGAGGGTTGCCGGGTATTGGACAAACATCGCGTGCCGCCCAAGGTTGCATGTTTGGTGCTTGGCGTGATGTGTGTGTATATATATATAATATATATATGTGTGTGTGTGTGTGTGTTCGAACCTTAAGAACAACGTTGCGTGTTTGTCCTTCTTTGCCAGTGTCGCGCACTGCATAATTTGTGCATATCCATGATAGCCATCGCCTGGCTGCAGCTTCTTTTGTAGGTGTACACTAGCACAGCCGGAATTACATCGGCTGGTCCACGTTTTCTCCAGCGGAATTCCGACAGGTTGGTGTTGTTGTGTCGGAGAGCAGAATACGGCGAGCCCCCCGGGCTGACGCACCGAGCAACCAGAACCTCCCTTCTGCTCGTGGAAAGTCGGTAAGACCGAGGCTGGAGCACTTGGAGAAGCAGGAGCTAGCTGCTTGTCGCGCCAGACGCAACGGGCAGGTTGAGTAGTGGAGGTGCCATTGGAGGTTTGTTCCATTACTCTCAGGGATCATCATCCCTCCGTTACCAGGATCCACAACCGCCGTACTTGTGTTGGGGGCAATCATCCATGATGTTCCTCCTGCCTCCCGGCAACTTGATGTCTCCCAACGAGGTGGCTGTAGCCTGCAGGGCTTCTGATGCCACTGTCACACCTTGGCAAAGGAGCAGAGGCAGTTTTCGCTGAATGGAGTTCACGGCTTCTGGATGCTCAAGGCCGAACCCGGGGGGGGGAGGGGACTGAGGGATTGAAATGTGGCTTGAGAAGCAACCTGGGTGACTCATGCAACGCGTTTGAGAGTATGTCGATTCTGTGCAAGTGCGAGGTCTTCTTGCATTTTGCGTGACAGCGTCGAGGTCCACGTCCGGAGTCGGCAACTTCTTTGTCTTGCAAAGGCTTCAATACTGCTTGGACCATGATCTCACGAGTTGTGCATGCTTTTGCCTCATTTTATTCTCCTTCAATGACATTGACTACATCGAAGCGCTTCTTTGTGAAAACACATGATTGGTCAATCAAATTCTTGACCCCCGTTCCTATTTCAGCCAGAGACGTTGACAACGAATCCGGGCAAGACTCGCAATATTTGGGGTTCGGGGGGGCAATGAGGATGCTGGCAGGATGGGGGTGGGGCGGGGTGGGGCAATGATGCTGCCAAACAGAACAAACAATCCAACACACATCTCTTTGCACCCATTGCGGCTCGAATTTTGAATATTACGCTAAAACGCGCTTTAGCGTACATTGCGCACGGCTGAATTGCCTGTCGGGCGCAGTGGTGTTCACCGTAGCCACTGAACAAGTGCAGCGTCAGCATTTGTTTTGACTTCGGATACATATCCCAATTCTCCACGAGGCTGTGTGCGCTGCGATGCACTTAAGATAATTTACCAGGCCAAAGGCTGACACAATCGATCAACACCTGGAGCGAGCAATCATTGACCTGATACTGAGAAGTCCATTGTGTCATCATGATTACATCCCTTTGGCGCGAACACCTAGCCATATCATGTGTAACGTCTGGCTGTTCCCTCTCCTGTGCTCTGTCCGTAGATCCTGCTACAGCATCAGTATGGCGGACTACTGTACCGTACCCCAAATATTTACAATTCCCTCAATCCAGAGAAAAGATATCCATGGAGAAAGCAACGGCGAGTTTCCTTTTCCCCTTTTGGGGCTCCAGGAGCCCAGCCTCAACTGCGGCCGTGGGGTGCGGGTCTTCTCCGAGCTTCTGCCGCTGCTGCAGGAGGCGAATTGCTCTCGGCGCTCGGGATGGGTTGGTCGATTAGATTTGGGTGCCTTTCATTGAGGCTAAGCCTTTGTTTGGGTTTGGGAGGCGTTTTTTCCTGGGTCTAGTTTGACACCCCTTATTTTCGATGCGTCCATGGACTAGGAGGGGTTCAGACGCATCAGGGTTGCCATGTTTGAAGGGAAGGCTCCTGAATGTTTGGTTTGCTACCCTCGGATGAATCAGAGTGTCCGTGTGATTTCTGGAAAGTTGGAATGCTCCTACGGATTTGCAGGAGTGAACAAAACCGCGAAGCTTTCAGTAGGTCGAATCGGCCTTTTTGCCAGGCCAATGAAGCAGCTAGTTACTTGTGTGGGCCACGCAACCCAAGGCAGTCCCTCATTTTGGAACATTCCCAAAGCGAACCAGCGGAGGGGACACTGGCAACAATGGCAAGGGCAAATCTAGCACACTCTTGTTTCTTTTAAAGTTCTGGAATTTGATAACAGATTCTAACAGGAGTGCCAATGTCGGACCTTGCAACACCGGGAGCAACAAGGCGAGCCAAATCCATGGCCAAAGGCGAGCCTAGGCTTCGTTTTCGAGGACATGAAATTCCGCAGGTCGACCGGAGCCGCTGACACAACTTAGGTGACTATAGCAAGCTGGCGTGGCAGCAGCCTGATACAACAAATGTGAGTCTGTGCTTGGTTGAGCTGCTTGGTGGCTTCCTTTGCCTCTTCTCCGCACAAAGCCGAGATTGTAATCTTGTGGTTTCCCAATTGCATTGATTCATGCTTTCGAGAAGGTCTTGAGTCGTAGTGTGATACCATGAGCTGCTGCGTCAGCTTAAGTCTAGCAACCGTGCTATGCTTTCTTTGCCACATGGGCCGGCGATCCTTCCGTTCGGCTCTTTACTACAAGGTATCCAACGAAGCCCTGCCTCATCCACATGTCTTTCCGACGAGGTCCGTGCTTGGGGTGCGGAATTGGTCAAGAAAGCCGTATTTAAAACCACTTTTTGGTTCTACCCAGGTCCGCTTTTACAAGTTTCAGACTGAGACTTTGCGATCTAGGCTGAGCGGGTGGACTGGCACGTAATTGTGCAGAAGTGCGCAGAGGGGGACCTTTGCTGCAACGCTGCCACCAGAGCCGAGCCAATCATTCGGAGTTGAACCCGGCCAGCTTTTTACTAGCCTGCAGTATTGGTTCTTGGTGACCCAACCGCAACATGATTGAGCTTCCGGAACCGGGACAATGGCAATGGTGTCTGATTCTCAGGAAGTCCAGATTCTGTGTTCGCACTCTGATGGGGTGCAAGGTAACGCTGGACTATGTTTTTTCATGCATGCCCTGGAATCTTTGACGTGACACACAACTTAGCAATGATCCTGGCCCTTTGTTTCACTGTGTCATGTGTTGCCATCATTTTGCTCACTTGTTGAATGGCCAACGGACGTGCGCATTGGCACCTTGGGCTTTGACTTTTTTACCAGTCCACTTTGGAGAGGCTTCCGCTGACACAGCAGCTTCAAGCATTCCCGTCTTCCACGCCTGACACTGTGTTGGACAGGTGCAGGTGTCTCGGTTCTTACTAGTTCCCCCCCAACAAATAACGTGGTTTTCCTTTGGGTTTGCCTTTGAAACCAACCAAAAGGGGTACCAACTCCAAAAATGATACTTATTTGGCTGTCGAACCCGTCGCCGTTGCACTTCTCTAAGAAGGCCTTGTCCGCATCGGGACCCCAAAAGCAACGAAGGCGGACAGCAAGACATGCATTTCCGGGCTGGATACATGAAGAAAGGCAAATTAGTTGGGGCCAGGTTTGTGGCCTGGCAAAGCGGACCTTTTTGTGTGGCCTCAACAAAATGGTGCACTCTTTGCATGAGGACGCAGAACGCCCCTGAGTTGCTGTGGCGGCGAGAGTGTTGAATCTGCCAGACACAGGCGGAGAGCTGAGGTCGCCAGGCGCTGGCCTTTCGTCAGGTACATGGAGCGGCCCTTGCTCGCAGCGGGCCGCAAGTGCGACCTGCGGCTTTGGGTGTGGAGACCCAGTGACTTTGTCAGAAACACAGAAAGACATATCATAAACATATACACATACAGTCACATACATGTATGCATATATGACAATTTCCTTTGCTCGAAGCAACTTCCCCGATCCGAAGCACTCCAAATTTGGTCCGTTACGGCATGCCTCTCGGGTCTGATGGAGAGAAGGCTGGTCCCTTCATTTCGTGCAACTGAAATGAAATAGTATCTCTCCGCCAAGCAGCAAACAGCTAGATACAGAGAACTGCGTGGTTCTACCTGGGTGCCACTTGCCTGTATGGACAAACACATGTTTGGAGGGCTGTCAAGTAAGAGCCTGACTGCATTTGGTGTGTACAGGCACATGAGGTATGGCCTAAAGGCTATTCCTCACGCTGGCAGTAGCACTTGAGGTGGGCCGCAAAGTGAACTCGAACGAACCTCCAAGCGTTGTGAATGTTTGTTTTGCACAGCCAGGATAAGCTCTTTTGTTGTTGCCACGATCCCGAGAAGTTGACTTGGGATAAGCAGGCTCACTTGCCCGGGCAAGGAGAAACGCACCAGAGGAAGCATATATGGCAGCAGTGTCCAAATGTCTGGATTAGCAACTCCCTGACTGGCGAGCTTGAAAGAGCCATGCTATTCATGCCCAAATCTCAGACAGCAACTAAAGCAACCAGGCATCGAAGCCAGGGCCACTCGCGCGAGTTGTATTCTCTCTTGGTTAATCTGAGGTCCTGGTGACTTCGTGGAACCCCGCCGTGATTTGGGTCTGGCCGGAACCATACTTGAGGTGCCCGCGCCAAACGCCGCGCCGCTGGGTCGGAATAGGTGTCTGCCAGCCTGGCAAAGAGCGGTTGAAGCCAAGTGGTTCTGTGGGTTTTTGGAGTTGGCACTTGTTTTTGGTGGCTTTGAAGGGAAACCCAACAGGAACACCACCCATTCTTGGGGGTCCCCCCAAAAAGAGACCCACCCAAGTGCTTAGGGCAAGAAAATTTGCTAGGTCCCACCAAGCGGCTGGTTTTGGAAGCACATGGCTCGAACCCTCTTCACTCTGGAGCGGTTATTCCTCTTTTTTCCATCTCGCCGCCATTTCTGCTGGCTCAAGCGGCCAGCATGGCTGAAGTCGTGCCCCAATGGGCGGCTTGATTTGAGAGGGTTTGGGATGCAACTTGCACTCTGAAGGCTCGTCCTTTCCTCCTATCTCCTTATACAATGCCTTGACATCGACACACCTATTCCAGATTCGCTTTCGTAAGACCCTCGTCTTTGGATACGGCAACTAGCTTGCTCCTTTCCGACCCTCTTTCCTTGTATGTGCTCATTCAGCCCTGATCAATCAGCTTGCGGCTGGCTATCGTGATCAACTGATGGATATCCAAAATGATGCCTGACAAGTCATCTTTCAGCCTCCCGGTTTATTGAGCTCTTCTTATTGTCAATGTGGCACGTTTGCCACGCATAGAGCATGGAGCCACTTGCCCTTTCTTACCTCAATAGCATCCCTTGGAAGCCGGCCACTGAGGCGATCGCAGCCTGCTCGCGCTGAAGAAGTTGGGCCGGGACCTCCAGTTGGGAGGGCAGCATGCCAAAACCACCCCCCCAAAAGCTCTACTGGCTGGGGTTGTTCTAAGGGCTCTGCTCAGTTCACTTGTTTTGTTCCACTCTCGCGTGTTCGAGCTTTGACATGCTTCTCACTTTTTAAAGAGGCAAGGTCTAGCGTTCTTGAGCAGCAGACACGCTCCAGGCGCTGTGGTCTTTCTGCCTGTTGTTCCACATCATCCAACATCATGGGGATGTTTCGAAACACCTAAGATTGCTTCTGCCAATGCAGCCTACTGTATTTCTGGTGCATCGAACGGAGCGTTTTGATCCGTCCCTTTGGACGGGAACTCCAAAGGGACTCTCTTTACCTTCTTTTTCTTTTCTCTGGCCTCGTTGCTTTACCTAACACCATCAAGCACCAGCGCCCACTGCCGAATGACTGGGCTAAGAGCCTCAAAACGGTTGTAGCTCAACTTCACAGTGCCTTTGGTCTTGCGTTTTCACTCTTGCATACTCGAGGTGATGCCGCTTCACCGGCAGATGTGCGCCAGATCTTGGAGCCAGTGTTGGAGGAGACAGAGATCCGATCAAAAGCAGAGCCGGTGAACATAAATCCGTATGTAATTAAATGGCGCACCAGAACGGCCCCAATTCAATTTCTACTCCTATTCAGAGTATCCTCTGCGTTGTAACTGCAGGAGACACAAGATTCCAATCATGACCATTTCTATTATTTCCGGTTCCAGTCACCGTTCAATGAGGGAATATTCGGGACGGGTGCTTTAAAATGAACAACGGCATGTTGGCATTGACGGAAACTGCAAGCTTGCAACCAACAAAGAGTCCACAAGTATGTTTGCTGCTTGTACTGCCACTGTTGTCCAAGCACAGGGTGGTGTATTTGGCTCTCCGGCAAAGACTGGCCCCGATTAGTAGATATTGGTCTTGCTCTTTATTCTCCATTCCATTAGCCTATATATATATATATATATTTCTCTCTTTCTAGCTTTCTTTGGCATTCACATGCCCATTACCACGCGCCATTTCCTCTTACGGCCCCGGGGTTTCCTCCGGCTGATGCCATTGACTTGGGTCTTGACGCACGTTGAGAGCAGCTGCTTTGTGCCTAGCCTTGAGAGGAGTGGCGTCAGAGCCCCCGCCTGGCCACCGCCGCAGCTTGGCAGTACCGTCGCGGGTTCCGACTCTGGGCATTGGTGCGCTCTTTTGGCCGTTTGGCAGTACTGGGCTGGCTGATCATGATCTCAGTTTCCAATGATTCTCAGTTTTTGATTTTAGTTTGGCTCTCTTTCTCGCCACTAGCAACATCATGGCTGCTTTTTGCAACGCAGAAATGGCCGTCCTCCCCAAGCCCAACCTGGAAGCCGCGTCCCCCCCGCTCCGCCGAGGTGCTGAGCGGCTTGGCGCGGGGCCACCTGCCGGGCCTAGCGGCGTGTCTGCTGAGAGCCATGGAGGCTGCGGCGCTGCGCACCGACGTGGCTCGGGCCTGCGAGGGGCGCTTCGGGCCCCAAACATGGCTGAACGTTTTCCTTTTGGCTTCACTTTACAACCAAGCAAAAAATGCCGAGCCTCAAACAAATATACACCCATACAATCAGGCACAGAAAGCTCATAAACAGGGTGGCTGCCAGCGTGCGGGACCCGCAGTTTGCTTTCTCTTTCAGGGGGGTTTGGTATGGATATTTGCTAGGCTTGTCTGAGGTTGTTGGGCTTGAGTTCAGGATTTTTGGCATTGTCTCCAGGTGTTAGGTCGAGTTGACCTTAATATGTTGGGCGTTTTGATGTAGCCATGGAGTTTCGAGGCAAATGACAGTCAGACGTGTCATGTGTTTTTTTGTGTTTGTTTTTTGTTTTGTTTTCAAGGATTCTAAAATGCTAGACATGTTATGTTATATTTTGATATCTTTTTAGATACCATTTTTCAATTTATTTAAACCATATCCAAAAAGACCAACACAAAGAACATATTATCAACAATGACACATTGAACACATATTTAACTGATATTGAAAATAATCAAGATTCCAAAAACAAGTATGTTTAAATGGAATAAGCAAATACATGAAACAACTATAACACAATATGTAAATGCACGATTCATTTCTTGGCTTTGAACGTCATATTTAGGGCTCAAGAGTGTCCAAGCTTTTAGGGGTAGGTTTTCCGGAGGCTCATGCAAGATTGCAGCGACAGTGCAAACGCATATGCTGCCCATAAATGAGCAAGCAATGATGTTGTGAGTGCTGGGCTGACTCTAGGCTTTTGATGGTCGGTGTTGTCCCACCTTCAAGCAGCAATTTTATGTAGTTAGATGCCCTCAGAATTTCTTGTGTGAATCTGCTGTGTGCAAACGCTGCGAGGTTCTGCGACAACAAGAATGCCCAATGCGAAAATGCGTTTCTTGTTTGCGAGTGGTTCCCTCAAGGCATTCAAAAAGGATACCGGGATAGGATACCTAGCAACCGGCCGGGGGCTCCGGGGCTCGCACTATTCCATGGCAGTGTAAGTTGGGTATTTGATTTGGCGGCGCTTGATTCTTAGGGCTCGAGGATGGTTGGCTGCATAGGTAGGTTGACAGCAGCGCTTCTTATTTTCTGGACGATTTTGTCTCAGATTCGCAAATAGCAAACATCTCATTGAGGAGAGGTGTGAGCTCTGATTGCAACCAAGGTCATCCACTACAACAGCGTCTTGTCTCAAAAGGGGGACGGGATGTGTTGTGCCTCAGGGTTCTTTGCTGCTCACGTGCGTTCTTGTTTGGGGAGGTTGGCGAAGCAACTTGCCTGTGTCCAAGCCAGGAAGGTTTTGGGACTGCTTGGTGTGAAACCACGCGTTTTGCACCACAAGGGGTGCAACTTGTCCAAATTTTGACACGGCGCATGTCTGTCGCTTCCTTGCAAAGTTTGCCTCTCGACCGTCGGGTCGACGCGCAAACCTCGGCGTGGCGAGGTGTTTTGACGTCGGCGCAGTGGAGGCAGGCGCTGCAGCTGCTGCAGAACGCACAGCAGCGGTGGCTGAGGCTCCAGAGTCTGAGCTGCCGCCCCGCGGCGAATCGGGTCTTAGGGGGAGCCAGCAGAAGGTTTCTCTTTTGGTTTCCTGTCAAGCCATTGGCGTCCCTTCGGTTTGGTTGAGATTTCAGGCGCCTACTCAGCAGAAAACTATTCCAAAAGGACACGGAGAGCCATCCATGAGGGATGAACTCCTATCCCTTCCGAGAGGCACTGCTTTCGGCGGATCCGGCTGGTCGGATGAGCAACATAGAGGGTCCTTGGGCACCAGAGACTCAACTTGGGACTGCAAGCGTCATTAGGGTAGGGGAGGCTACATGTCAATTTGCTGCCAGCGCCTCCTTTCCAAGTTCATGAGAGTAGTGAGAGTAGTGACTGCTGGCCATTGTTGCACCCAACCTCTCATTGCGACCAATGACGTGTTTCTATTGCCACTCGTTCAACAAGAGGACAGAACGGCAGCGCATGCATCGTAGTTCCATGCACAGCTGATTCTGAATCATCGGTCACGGAGCAGAGGCCTGGGGCTGTCGTTTTTGAGGGTGCCCTTCTTGGGGTGTCTAAAAAGAGGATCCAAAATGCAAATCCGTGATGTTTTCTGGGGTCCCCTATTTTCAGGCACCACGCGACGCTATGGTTCAGCCTCTCACTTTTCCACCTCAGGACTGGGCATCTCCGCCTGCCGCGGAGCCTGGAGCCAGGCGGTGGCGCTACGAGCTCAGAGACTGGGCGGGCTTCTCGAGACCTCAAGCTTGGTCCGTCTTCAGTGCGGTAAGAAACAACAGCAAGGAGCTTTGCAGGGTTTGAGGGCATGCAGAAAGTACATGTTCGGGCGTAAGATTGACACTTTGGAAGCTCGCCGCGTAGAAGATAGGGCAGCCAATCTCTTCTCGGGCTTCTAAAGGGATATGTTTGATCTGTCAACCAGTTTTCAGGAAGCCTAGCAACAATCTCGTAAGCTCCCAATGAGGCGCGCCCAAGGGCAGCCCCTTCCCCCGCCAAGGCTGCTGTATCAGTTCTCGCAGCTGGCAGATGTGAAGAGCTGTAGCGCTGCCATGAGCGCCTCGCTGACGGAGAAAATGGAACGCTTGGGGTTGACCTTGCGAACGATCCAAGGCCCCGCTCACCCACAGTTTTAGGAGAAACCCTTTGGCATCGAAGGCGATGAGATGGGGGTATTGCAAGCGAGGACTCTCATTGGATTGCTGAGCACAAACAGGACCGATGGTATGCATCCTTTGGCCGAGCAGGAGGGCTTTTGACATTTTCGAAAGCGGAGGCTGAAGGATGGGACTTTCGAGTTTTCTGGATTATCCGGACTTTGAGGCCTACAACCGCACAAAATGCCATCCAGGCGCTTGTCTAGGATGTCTTTCAGGGTAAACCTATATGAAGTGCTGCCCAGAAGATTCTTGCTTCACCCTATGGGGTGATCGAAATGGATGGCCCATCTGCCGTTCACGCGCACGCCTCAGGTGCTTGCGAGGCAGCCGGGGAATGGCAGGCAGCCTTGGCGCTGTTGGAGGGGACGAAAGGCCAAGTGGCACCTCGGCCAGATCCAAGCTGGACACCTTTTTCGCTGGGGAAAGGACAGCAGTTTGGGGGAACCGGAGACAGCCCCCTTGCGTTTGGAGCCGCAGGTTAAAGTCTTGCCCTCCCTGCCTGGCTCGTTTCTTGCTCCAGGAATGACTTTGTTTTGCATTCAACACGCTGAGAGCGTCGAGAAGTAGAAAAATACTTCAGCAACATGAGCCAAAATGGCAGCAGTGTTCGTCCGGTGACTTTGGGTAGCTGGCAGATCGGTTTGGACCACTCTGGAATCACTCTCTGGGCGGTCGACCCGAGAGCCGAGGCACTGGACGTGGTGTGCTTCGGATCTTTGATTTCTGCCTGCGAGAAAGGCAGATTTCGCGGCCGTATGTCTGTCATGCTGCTGCTTCCACATACTTGCGCCATTTGGGCGTTGCGCTTGTGCAAGTCTCCTGAAGGGGTTGGATTTCAAAGGCCAGGGTTCTTGTTATGAGCAGAAAAAAACAACGTTTTGAGCAGAAAGGAACTCACAATGAGCATAAAGAAGGTTCGTACTGTGCGGAAAAGGTTGGGAGTTTCAGAGATCCCGAGAAGGGTGCCCCTTTTTGTTTTTTTGGGCTGGTTTTGTCTACAGGGGCAGACTACTACGAGAAGAGGCAGCAGGATTTATCTTCAAAGCTTCCTGCTGTGAGGGAAGCCTCGCGGCAATTTGCAAAAGTGAAGCTTGGCAGGATATGGCAGTGTCATTTTTCCCGAATGCGTAGCGAAGGGTTCTCGTTTATAAGTGGGGGTCTGGGGGTGGCGAGGAGTTGCTCCAGAGTTCGCAACCGTTCGCAACCGTTCGCAACCGTTCGCAACCGTTCGCAACCGTTCGCAACCGCAACCGTTCGCAACCGTTCGCAACCGTTCGCAACCGTTCGCAACCGTTCGTGGTGAGGCAATAAGCGTGTGTGGGATTCATCGTGGAAGCGTGTTTTTGATGGATCGGCAAGTGCTGTTTTCATTGGCCCTGTGCGCGAATCGTAGCTTCTCAAGCTCGATGTGTCGTTTCGCTGCGCAGGCGCAGTGTTTTGGAAGGCTGCGTGTTCTCGCTGCCGTGCCAGTGGGATTTGCGATCCAGGGGTGGTCGCTTTGAGGTGTCCTGCTTGGCAGGCGCGTGATAGTGTTTGCGCCGGCGCCGTTTTCGTTGGCCCTGTCGTGCAATCGGCTCGTATTGGCAGGCCTGAAACAAGTCAAAATTGGTCGAAATCATTCTGGCGCCACAGTCCCGCGCTAGTTTTGGATGCGTGTCGTAAACGTGTCAAAGCTGGATTTCGTGGCAGCTTTGCGTGACAGGCGCAGCAGTTTCGAGCGTTTTGGTCGAACTTCGTGGCAGGCGCGGCACTTTGGAGCTTGTCGTGCAAATTTCGTGGCAGGCGCAGTACTTTGGTGCCTGGGTGTAGATTTCGTGGCAGGCACGTCACTTTGACTCAGCGAGATCGCTCTCGCTGTGGCGCGGTGCGCATTTTGAGCATGCGAAGCGAACCCTCTGCGCACTTTGTGTGGGTCAAAACGCTCTCGCTGTGGCGCGGTGCGCATTTTGAGCATGCAGAAGTGCCAATCACAAGTGTCCATTAGAAGTGTTGTTCAGGAGTGTGGATTAGAAGAGACGTTCAGAAGTGTCGATCAAAAGTGTCGCTCAGAAGTATCGGTCGGAAGTGTCGACAAAAGTGTTGCTCGGAAGTGTCGATCAGAAGTGTTGCTCGATCAGAAGTGTCGATCAGAAGTGCTGTCGATCAGAATTGTCAATCAGAAGTGCGGATCAAAAGTGTTGCTCAGAAGTGTCGATCAAAAGTGTTGCTCGAAGTGTTGGTCAGAAGTGTCGCCCAGAAGTGTAGCTCCGAAGTGTAGATCAGAAGTCTTGCTCAAAGGTGTTGCTCGGAAGTGTCGGTTGCAAGTGTTGCTCAGAAGTGTTGCTCGGAAGTGTTTGACAGAAATGTCGCTCAGAAGCGATCAGAAGTGTGGGTCGGAAGTGCTGCTCAGAAGTGGTGATGAGAAGGGTTCCTCAAAAGAGTCGATCAAAAGTGTCGATCAGAAGTGTTGCTCAGAAGTGTCGCTCAGAAGTGTGGATCAGAAGTGTTGGTCAGAAGTGTCAATTCAGCAGTGTTGCTCAGAAGTGTCGTTCAGAAGTGTCGATGAGCAGTATGGATCAGAAGTGTTGGTCAGAAGTGTTGCTCAAAATTGTCGATGAGAAGTGTGGATCAGAAGTGTTGCTCATCAGTGTCAATCAGAAGTGTGGTTCAGCAGTGTTGCTGAAAATGTCGATCAGAAGTGTGAATCAGAAGTGCGGATCAAAAGTGTTGCTCAGAAGTGTCGATCAGAAGTGTTGCTCAGAAAAGTCGATCAGAAAAAGTATCGCTCAGAAGTGTTGCTCAGAAGTGTCAATCAGAAATAGTGTGGTTCAGAAGTGTTGGTCAGGTGTCGCTCAAAAGTGTCGCTCAGAAGTGTCGATCAGAAGTGTTGCTCAGAGGTGTCGATCAGAAAAAGTGTGGTTTAGAAGTTTTGATCAGGTGTCGCTCAAAAGTGTCGCTCAGAAGTGTCAATCAGAAGTGTCGTTCAGAAGTGTCGCTCAGAAGTGTTGCTCAGAAGTGTCGATCAGAAAAAGTGTGGTTCAGAAGTGTTGATCAGGTGTCGCTCAAAAGTGTCGCTCAGAAGTGTGAATGAGAAGTGTGGGTCGGAAGTGTTGCTCAGAAGTGTTGATGAGAAGGGTTCCTCAAAAGTGTCGATCAGAAGTGTCGATCAGAAGTGTTGGTCAGAAGTGTCGCTCAGAAGTGTCAATTCGGCAGTTGCTCAGAAGTGTCGTTCAGAAGTGTCGATGAGCAGTATGGATCAGAAGTGTTGGTCAGAAGTGTTGCTCAAAATTGTCGATGAGAAGTGTGGATCAGAAGTGTTGCTCATCAGTGTCAATCAGAAGTGTGGTTCAGCAGTGTTGCTGAAAATGTCGATCAGAAGTGTGAATCAGAAGTGCGGATCAAAAGTGTTGCTCAGAAGTGTCGATCAGAAGTGTTGCTCAGAAAAGTCGATGAGAAAAAGTATCGCTCAGAAGTGTTGCTCAGAAGTGTCAATCAGAAATAGTGTGGTTCAGAAGTGTTGGTCAGGTGTCGCTCAAAAGTGTCGCTCAGAAGTGTCGATCAGAAGTGTTGCTCAGAAGTGTCGATCAGAAAAAGTGTGGTTTAGAAGTTTTGATCAGGTGTCGCTCAAAAGTGTCGCTCAGAAGTGTCAATCAGAAGTGTCGTTCAGAAGTGTCGCTCAGAAGTGTTGCTCAGAAGTGTCGATCAGAAAAAGTGTGGTTCAGAAGTGTTGATCAGGTGTCGCTCAAAAGTGTCGCTCAGAAGTGTGAATGAGAAGTGTGGGTCGGAAGTGTTGCTCAGAAGTGTTGATGAGAAGGGTTCCTCAAAAGTGTCGATCAGAAGTGTCGATCAGAAGTGTTGGTCAGAAGTGTCGCTCAGAAGTGTCAATTCGGCAGTTGCTCAGAAGTGTCGTTCAGAAGTGTCGATGAGCAGTGTGGATCAGAAGTGTTGGTCACAAGTGTTGCTCAGAACTGTCGATCAAAAAGTGTGGATCAGAAGTGTTGCTCATCAGTGTCAATCAGAGGTGTGGTTCAGCAGTGTTGCTCAACAAACTGTTAACCAGAAGTGACAATCAGAAGTGCGGGTCAACAGTGTTGCTCAGAAGTGTCGATCAGAAGTGTTGCTCAGAAAAGTCGATCAGAAAAAGTATCGCTCAGAAGTGTTGCTCAGAAGTGTCGATCAGAAATAGTGTGGTTCAGAAGTGTTGGTCAGGTGTCGCAGAAAAGTCGATCAGAAAAAGTGTCGCTCAGAAGTGTTGCTCAGAAGTCAATCAGAAGTGTTGCTCAGAAAAGTCGACCAGAAAAAGTGTCGCTCAGAAGTGTTGCCCAGAAGTGTCGATCAGAAAAAGTGTGGTTCAGAAGTGTTGATCAGGTGTCGCTCAAAAGTGTCGCTCAGAAGTGTCAATGAGAAGTGTGGGTCGGAAGTGTTGCTCAGAAGTGTTGATGAGAAGGGTTCCTCAAAAGTGTCGATCAGAAGTGTCGGTCAGCAGTGTTGCTCAGAAGTGTGGCTCAGAAGTGTCAATTCAGCAGTTGCTCAGAAGTGTCGTTCAGAAGTGTTGATGAGCAGTGTGGATCAGAAGTGTTGGTCACAAGTGTTGCTCAGAACTGTCGATCAAAATGTGTGGATCAGAAGTGTTGCTCATCAGTGTCAATCAGAAGTGTGGTTCAGCAGTGTTGCTCAACAAACTGTTGATCAGAAGTGACAATCAGAAGTGCGGATCAACAGTGTTGCTCAGAAGTGTCGATCACAAGTGTTGCTCAGAAAAGTCGATTAGAAAAAAGTGTCGCTCAGAAGCGTTGCTCAGAAGTGTCGATCAGAAAAAGTGTGGTTCAGAAGTGTTGATCAGGTGTCGCTCAAAAGTGTTGCTCAGAAGTGTGAATCAGAAGTTGTGCTCAGACGCGCTGGAACATCGCAACTTTGTAGCGCAAGTCTAGTGCACGAAGTACAGGTTTCTGGAAAATAACAACTTTGAAGTGCAAGTCTAGCACGAAGTACCGGTTTCCAGCTCCAGCTGGAAAATCGCGACTTTGTTGTACAAGTCTAGTATGCGAAGTACAGGTTTCTAGCTTTAGCTGGAAAATTGCGATTTTGTAGTACAAGTCTAGTACGCGAAGTACAGGGTTCTAGCTCTAGCTGGAAAATCGCGACTTTGTAGTACAAGTCTAGTCCCCGAAGTACAGGTCCCCAGCTCCAGCTGTCAAAGTACAGGTTTCCAGCTCTAGCTGGAGAATCGCAACTTTGTAGTACCAGCTCTAGCTGGAGAATCGCAAGTTTGAAGTGCAAGTCTAGTGCGCGAAGTGTGCAGGTTTCCAGCACTGGCTGGAAAGTCACAACTTTGTAGTGCAAGTATAGTACGTGAAGTACAAGTTTGCAGCTCTGGCTGGAAGATCGTAACTTTGAAGTGCAAGTATAGTACGCGAAGTACAGGTTTTGAGCTCCACCTTGAAAATCGCAACTTCGTAGTACAAGTGTAGTACGCAAGGTACAGGTTTTCAGCTCTAGCTGGACAATCGCAGCTGTGCAGCGCAAGTCTAGTGCGCGAAGTACCAGCTGCGGCTGGAAAATCGTAGTACAAGTCTAGCGCGTGAAGCGCAGGTGTCCAGCTTCAGATTGAAAGTCGTAGCTTTGTAGCAATAAGTGGAGCACGCAAAGTACAGTTTTACAAGCTGAAACACATAGTTTGCGCAGTAGGCTTGATTGCGAGCCCCATTGGCTTATACTGAAAAATGTTCTCTCTAATTCTTTTCTTGGGCTTGCGCAAAGTGATGTGCATTCGGGTTTGTGGGCTCTGTCTTGTTTTTTTGGGCACCTTTGTTACTTGGATGCTTATGTAAATCAACAGGAATACCACCATTTTCGGGAATCCCGCCCATTCAAAGCCACACCATATAGCATTTGGGTGCTTCTGAACTGCGTCGCAGGGACGGCCTGCGGAACAGCCTTTAGTTGCCTCACCTCGCTGACCAGCTTACTAGAAGAGGAGCTCAATGAAGATGACGCAGTATGTTTGTTGGCACGGGATATGAGGCTTGCGTTTGGGATAGTGCTTTCGTGTTGCTGGCGCAGGATCGGGGCCCTTCAGTGAATGTTCCCTGTCAACTTGTTGCAAGCTGCGAGAGTCGGCAGGCCGCCGGTGGGAGTTGGCGATCCATGCTCTGTCGCTTGGCCAAAAAAGCAACTTGCCAAGAGAGCTGCGCTCAGATCTCATGGTCGTTCATCAGGGAAGCGTAAGCCATCTAGTGGTGTGTTTCCCCGAAGGGTGGTGCGTATTCTATGGGATGGAGAACGTGGGATTCAACTGTCAGAGACATATTCTTGAGGGTATATGAATCATTGCGTGTACTTTTTGTGTAATGACCCACAAGCTGCCTAGTTTGAGTCAATTCAGGACGTGGATGGACGACTTCAGGATCCTTGGCTGCGTGCAATGAAGGGATGTCCGGCTCCTTCATCGTCTGGTTTGGGAGATGGAAAGAAAACTCCCTCGCCCTGGGATGTAGCTTCGCCTTGCTTGCGGCGAGCCAGACATCTTGGATGTAGGAAGTTCATCTGAACGCCGAGGCTGTCGCCTGACCAAATCTGCCTCAACGCTGCCGTCAGCGCCTGCCAGAAAGCTGCCATGTGGCAGCAGGCTTTGGATGTGTTGAGGCGCAGACGTAGTCAGACTGCCGCACCAACTGCTGCAGGAAGCTTCCTGCTTTGCCCAGGACCCTTTTTTCTTCATGTTTGGTCAATCGGGTGCTACGCATTCAGTGCGATGCCGGCTACCTAATTGTGACAAAGCGCACAAAGTGCTCCAATTTGACGCTAGCCCTTGGTCTTTTCCTTCGCAGGTCGTTGCCTGAGCGGCGCCTGCAGAGGGACGCGGTGGGCTTCAACAGCGCGCTGGGGGCGCTGAAGTGGTCCCAAGCCCTTCGCATGGCGCGCCACATGATGGAGGCGCTTGGTTCGGTGCTTAGACTCGTGTTTGTTTTGGTTGAGAGGCTGCCAAGCCAATGGGACTGGAATGCCAGCCTTTGGATGACTGCTGCACTCTGTGGATTTGTTGCAAGTCCTAGATTGCAGGGAAGGCCAACTGAAGGAGGGTAAGGGCCCACAGATCTGCTTCTGGGCAGACAACAGACAATCTCGTTCCTATCTGGCACACATTGGTGCTCATCCCGAAGATGCCAGCTTGTTGCGGAGCCAGCCGACCTCAGCAGGATTGTCCAGCGCTTTCAGGAGTCCATCGAGGCCACCGTGGTGACGTTCAACAGCCTCATGGGAGTGTGCGAATGGCAGGCGAGCCAAATCCCCCCCCCCATTTGGAGCCAAGTGACGTAACTCCCAGGCCAGCGATAGGCACCTAAACCTTTATGGCCCCTTGTTCAAACAAATTGGTAAGAGCTTGCTATTGCTGAAAGCTCTGTTGAGTCGAGAAGGGGAGAGAGAGAGAGAGTATAGCAAGAAAGAGGGTGAACAATTTTAAAAATCCGGGCGGCTCGGTACTGTTGACGGACGAAATCCTGCACCGCTTTTGCCATGGTTTGCAAAAGCCCTCACGCTCCCCATTTAACATTGGACGTTTAAGGGCCCTTGCTTTCAAACATGTTGGAACGACCGAAATTCTGCACCACCTTTTGTGAATGCCGACAACATTGAAAAGGGGGAGCGGGGTTCGCACCTGTTCAGTGGCAAATGGAGTTGGGAGAGGCGGTGCAGGATTTCGTCCGTCCCGTTGTGCTGAGCGTGGCAGTAGGCGCCACATTGAACGCTACAATGCGCACTCATTGGACACTACATTGGGCACAGCATTGAACATTGCGTTGAACACTCATGGAACGCTACACTTGATCACCACATTGAGCACTGCCAAAAGAGCGTTCTCGGCTTTGCGTCTCTTTGAGTTAAAGTAAATTGAACGAGTTTCTATTCCTTTCAAGATTTAGCTGATTCGTCGAACATGCTGTTTGTTCACACGAATTTTTGCAGTGTTCAACGTGTTCAACGTAGTGTTCAATGTAGTGTTCAACGCATCGCGGACTGCAGTGTTCAGCCACCATCCACTGGCGCCCTGTTGAACTAACTGGCCAATGAACAACAACGGACGCCACGGGTCGTTGACAGAGCTAACATGACAAATCATTACCCATATCTCAGATATTTTGCAAACAACATCGCGACATACACCGATTCAGTCCTTCAGACAAGTCCAGCAAAGAGCTTTATTTCGAGACAGCATCACAGCTTAGGGTGTGAGAGATCCGAGGGCAGACAGCCTCCTTGGCATCTGCATGTGCACAACAGTCTCCACCCGACGGGAGTTTGGAGTTCGAGAGTGTCCGCGGCAAGGTGACTCTGCAGCTGCTGGTGGAGATGCCTCGCACCAAGCTGGCGCCAAACAACATCAGCTGCTTGCCGTCTCAAGTCGGGAACGTAAACACCGCCTTCCCGCGCAAGTTTTTGCTTGAGAGGGAACCGTTTCGCTAGGAGCGAGGGCGCTTTTCAACGATCGAGGCTTCCGCCAGCTGCTGAGATCCTTGAGCTCTGCGGCGCAATGGCAGCGAGGCTTGCGCATGCTGGAGGCAAGGTCTTGGTGATAACAGTAGGCGTGTTCGCTAAAGGAGGGCTTGCACAAACAGCCATCGGTGGTCGAGGATGTACCTTCACTCAAGCACAGTGCTGACAGCTGGGGGCAGGCAAGTCAATTCAGCATGGATACCAGCAGAATGGAACACAACCACTGGATGCCTGAGGGAGCTCTCGTTTTTGTTTTGGCATTGTAGCCTGATACAGCCAGGCTTCTCCTGACATCGTCAGTTTCAACTTGGTCCTTGCTGCCTGTGCGCAGGCAGCCAAGGGCTGAGAGGGCTGGAAATGGGAGGTGAGGGGCACGTGAAAGGATTTGGGGTACGGAGGTTGGGTCTTCTCGTTCTTGAATTCATGTGGGTGTGTCTGGCGCTGACCAGCTGAAAGTGTTCGGCTCAAACTAATTTCTGCAAGTGGACAAGCGCGCCATGGGATCAAGCCACGGTTGCCCCGGTTGCCGCCAAGATAATGGCCAGGTGGCCGAGACGATCCAAGCGTCGAAGGCAGCAGCCCCTGAGGCGGCAACCGAGGTATTTGGGCCCGTGACGTCTTTTCACAGCACATCCTTGTCGAGCCCTGAGAGCCCCCACACCCTGAACGTGGAGTGCAAGTTCAGCCGTCTAGAGTTGATGGCGCATTTGGATGTGGACGAGCAGGTGCTTCGAGGCATTCCTCTCCACCACACATTGCGGATTGGCCGGGGCGGGCGCTGGAGTTGTCCCAACAAGATGAGCCATGAACGGAAGGAGGCGCTCTATGAGGAGTCGAGCCCGACTCAGCACTTCGACATCTTCTTCTCTCACACATGGCTGACCTCAGGCACCAGGAAGTATGTGGCCTTGCTCTTTCACAATGGCTGGCCCGTGATGGTGACAAGTTGGTTTTTTGCCGCCGCAGTGCTGGGCATCTTGTGCTTAACTGACTTTCTGCCTATGCCATTTATCTACCAAGCGACCATTCTCGACTACCAGCAAACTTCCCCGATGGGTTGTTGGGTTGTTGCCCTCACTTTGCCCGTGGCAGGTGCAGCGCTTGTGCTGGCACCATACTGCCCCAAGCTTGGAAAGCACAGTATTTGTTTCGTGGACATGTTCAGCATTCACCAAACAGATTCCAAGTTGTGGGAAAGAGGCATTTATGGCATCGGGGGCTGTTTGCAAAGGTCCAAGGAGCTGCGACTTTTGTGGAGTCCGCCATATGTTTCGAGACTCTGGTGTATGTTTGAATTGGCCGCATACAGGTTTGCAAATCCCCGCGGGAAGATCACAATGGCACCGATTTTTGTGGAATTCGTTGTGCTGACGCTCCTTGTGGGGATCCTTGTTTCCATGACGGTCTCTTGGGTGGGAGCGGGCGCCATAAGCCAGGGGAATCGGGCGGTCCACTTGAATGTGGCTCTTCTCTTTCTTTGCTTGCCCCTTTCGGGCATCATCCACGTCCTCCGCAAGCAGATCAGGGCGAAGCGCCAATTGATTCTTGACCTCGAAAGTTTCACCCTGGACCGGGCAGAGTGCCAATCTGACTTCGACCGGAGATTTATCAATTCTGCCATTGATGAGTGGTACGGGAGCGCTGAAGCCTTTGCCAACTATGTGAGAGGCCCCCTGCGGACTGAGCTGCTTCAAAACACTGCTTCAACTGTGCCAACGGCCTACGTGATGTCCTTTGTAATTTGCGCGTTGAGCGTTAAGGTTGAGTTTTGTCTTGCAATTGTGAAGGGCGGAGCACCCTTGAGGTTCATTTTGGCTGCTGTAGGACGGGCTGTTGGAACGACGGTCTACCAGTTGGCCTGCTTCAAACTGATGATTCAGTTGGCAGAACAGTTTGCAGAGCCCCGCAATGCTGGTATTTTGGATCTACTGCAGACCTTCCTCATTGGGCTGGCAGCGTGGTTGTTGCTGCTTCTTGGGCACCCAATAATCTTGACACTGCAGCCCAACCCTGGCGTGCTGCCCTTGTCGCTCCTGGTTGTCTTTCAATGTCTGGTATTTTTGGCCTCCTTTGGCGCCGGACCATTGTGGCGTTCGCTGCGTCACGTGTGTGGAAGCTCAAATCACACGTGTGCGGAATCCTAGGCGTTGGCACCGGGCCATTTTCATGCCGCCCAAAGGGCAGGATGCCGGGCTGTTTCACTTCTGTTGACTTGCTCGCAATCTTTACAAGCTACGATCTGTGCTTCTCACACTTGCAAGCCTCAAATAGACGGGAGACGGGAGTGTGTCACCTTGTGCGCCGAAGGAAAAACAACATGTTGACCAGCTAGAGCTGCAGTAGTTGCTCTCCGTACCCTTTTCACATTGGAAGTCTTAGTGGTGGACGCCTTTTTTTGAGTGGCTTTTCAGATTCGCTTGTTTGTGCTGTATTGAACACTGCATACAGTGGGCCCTTTACAGCTTTTCGCTGATAGTGGGCCAGATGGCACTCGTTGTCTTTGTTTTGTCAGAACGCGTCTCCTTTCAAGGCATGTAGTTACCAACGGGCAAACACCTGAGAATGATGTTGAGAGCGTAGCCCAAATCTGGTATGTTCTGAAGTGGGCAGGCAGCTGGTTCAAGAAAGTACTTTACTCCGTGGTGTCTGTTGATTGTACGATGTAGGTCAGAAGCCTTTCGTGTAAAGTTGATGAGGGCCGCATGCCTATCCTTTCGCGGTCATTTTGGCATTTAGACATCAGAGAGCATCCGCAGGGCTTCGCCGTAAAGTGGCTGATATGGATCGCAGCAAGGGGGGGTGTTTGCAGGGTGGCTCGGCCGCATCCCAACAAATTGAGGCAGGTGCCCGTGCCAGGCGCAAGCTTGGCCGCATGCCCTGCAGCTGCTTCAAGGAATGCCACAGCCAGCCGCTCCGGATGAAATGTACGGAAGTTGGTTGGGAGGGCTTCCAGGGGCACGGATGTGGCACATGAAGAACTCCCTGAATATCTCTTTTTCTCAGTTTGGTGCTCCAGATTCGAGGAGGTATAGAGCGATTCGTTTGCTAAGGACCTTGTGAGCTTCAACAGCGCCATCAGCAGCTGCCGCAGAGTGGGCGACCTCCCGCTCCACTTGCTGCCGCCTGGCTCGACTCGGTGCCATGCATCGGGCTTCACCTCTCAAGTTGCGAGACAGCAATGGTACCTACGCTAGGAAACCATCCCTCTACTTGTTGTAAACCACTGGGTCACATACATCCATGTTTTTTTTCCCTCTTCCTCTTCCTCTCTCTCTCTCTCTGCAATTATACACATATTTTACATACACATATATACACATGTATATATATATATATATATATATATTATACACAGGTATACACATGTTTCAGAGATGCTCCTCCGCGAGTCCCAGGTTGGAGCTGAGGGCTGCGGACTTGCGGCCGGACGCCGTGACCTTCAGCGCCTGCGTAGGTGACTGGCGCTGTGCGAGCCTCGTGCTGCGGGAGATGCCGCCTGGCCTCACTCTGGCAAAGCTTCCTCTTTTTTTTTTGGGGGGGGTGGGTGGGTTTGGTGGGGGTTTGCAAAAAGATTGTTTTTGTTAGATTGTTTATTTTATTTTTACTTTTTCAAACAAACACCAAATTCTTTGATTTGGGGACATCCAGTGACCTCTGATCTTTGAAGTGGGTGTTTTCTTATTTGATACGGCTCTGAAACAAAGTTGGAATCTTGGGTGGTTTCTTATTTGATTGTTCACCCTTTGTCGGTTGTGTTCCAAGAGATCAACGATCCAAGACCATCGTACACACTGTTTCTAGCCAGTACTACTAATACCAAACCAGGAAGGTTGATAAGTGAGACGAGGGTTGTCCAAATTGACAATCTTTTTCCGGACAGAAAAGAAAAGGCTCCACTGCGCAATTTTAGCACCGCATAGGCCAAGCACATTCCAAGTGCAAGGAACTCTCTTGCTCCCCAGCCGGAACAGATAGCATGAAGTCTTGCAGCTTGCGGCCTTGCTGCTTCCACCCCTGCACTTTGCTTGGGTTCAAACCAATCTTTGCGGTTGGGTGGAGACTCGATCCGTTTCCAGAAGGGCAAGTCAAACACTGGGAGATTCGGCAAGCTTCAAACACTGGGAGCAGAAGTTCAGCTCTTTGAGTTGCCGGCTTGGATTCCCTTGGACAACGAATGTTTGCAGAACCTCGTGGGCAACTTTCATTTCGATGCGACTAGGTCCCAGCAGATGCTGGAAGCGGGCGCGCCCAGCTCCTTGTTGCGAAGAGGCGATTCTGTTGGAGCACCCACAATTCAATCACATGTCTGCGGTTGAAGTGCGCTTGGCCTGAATGACCTTTTGCACTAGTCCGAAGCGTTCCAGGGTTGATGTTTAAGCTATGCTTTACTTGGGGGGCAAAGCAAACTCATGCCCTTTAGTTGTGACCTGCCTTCGTCTCTTGGTGTGCAAAAGTTTGAACACTTGCCTTCCTCATCTTGAGCCCAATGCTTTCGTTTCAGAGGCTGTATCGTTTGAAGCAGTGGTGTGGGGCAAACCTGGCCTACTCCTCTCGGTTTTCTTCCTAAAACAGTCTTTGGGACAGTTGGGTTGTGAGGCAGCACTCCGTTTGAAATCCTTTTCACTCATGAGTCCTACCTACCCCTCCTGTTGCTACAGCTGGCAGGATTGGTAACTTGTTTGGCTCGCCAGAGGCCACGGTTTTGTGCTGCCGCGATTTGCCAGCTCAGTATGACCTACTTTTTGTAAGGACGAGAGAACACTTTCCGACATTTGCTGGTCTTGCCAAACGCGATGGTCCATTGGTTACTACTTACGGCTTGGCACATCCTAGGCCACAATGCTGCCATCAGCGCCTTCGAGAAAGCAGGTGCCACGGGTACATTGGCTTTCATTCCTATTAGCAGGATGGCCAGAACTCCCTGTCGCAGATGTTTTCCGCGCATTCAGAGATACACAAAGACTCCTAGTGGGATCGGTTTCAGGTGAGTGGCCTTCCGCGCTGTCACTGCTCGGCGACATGAAAGCCAGACGCTTCTGCGATACCATCAGCTTCAACAGCGCCGCTGCTGCCATTGATATTGGATCGTCTCGGAGTTGTCGCATGGATTGAGGTTTGTTTCGGTTGAGAGGGCGATTTGTTTCTCTTTTCAGATCTTGGGCGAATGTTGTCAGCAGTAGACGTGTCCTGCAGCTGCCGCAACAAGCTGCCCTTGTTTGCGGCAGGAAGCAAGCCGTTGCCTTCAATTGAACCAGGGTTTCTTATGTTGCTGAGAGGCGGAGGTCATCCTCTTTGTTGCCTATGTTGCACATCTTTGGATTTCGCCTTTTCCAAGGGGTCGTTCCAGTTTCTATTTGGGACTGCCGGCGATATGTGCGCAGCGACTGGAGAAGGATGCCATGAGAGAAGTTCAAGCCCAAGAAAGGCCAGCACAGAGGCGAAATACTGTCGCCTGTCCCCTTGGGACACATATTTTTAACCCCCCTGTCAGAGGGTTTGCCGATTCGGGCCTTCCCTTCTTTGTTGCCGAGGTGCCATCAGTGCGGCACGGCGAGATTCTGCTGGCAATCGGGAAGCTGGGGTCATTTGCAAAAGGGAAAGCGAGAGTACTTAAGCACCGCTTTTCAGATGTGACATGCGCTCCTTTTCTTGTGATTGTCAACCCTCCTTTGGTTGTATCTGGGGGGTTGCATCCATATATATATATACATACACATATATATATATATATAAATATGATATGATTCACTGCGTTCATCCAAGGAACATTCCAAGGTACATGTTGTGTGCGTGTGTGCCAACGTAACGTGGACTGTTTTGCAAGGGCAGTCGCACGTATTTATGGGCCTTCGGATGCCTGGAAGATGACAGGCCTCCAGCCTCCGAAGTCATGTCATGCATGGCACTCACTGCTGCCTGATGACCCCTCCAAAGACATTCCCGCAAAAAAACAACAACGACGCAATGGCCCGACATGTATCTCAAGACACACGAAGCAACACGCAAAGACACCCACAAACTACCCACCCCAACGGCATCCTCCAAAGGCAGCCCTAAAGATATCCCAAGGACAAACCACCCAAGACACCCAAACACCCCCGAATCATCACTAATGGCTTTCCGGAGGAGATCCCAAAGACATCCTAAATCACAAACCTCAGAAGAAGACACCAAAGACATCCCCACCGACTTCTCCAAGTCATTCCCAAATTTGTTTATCCACAAGCTCAAAGCAAGTAGCTGACCATGGAATAGGGTTAATATAGTTTGCTTCCTGCCCACTAAAAATAGGCTCTTATAAACTAGGATGCCTTTCCTGTAAACCACAATTACCTTGGAGTAGGAGGTCAACATCAACTTGCTGTAGAATGAAATTAGCTTGCAGCAGACACAATTTATAGCTCGATCGACTAAGTGTTTTTTTGGTAGACTAGCTTTTCGAATGCAACACATACGCCCTGAAAGACATTTTGCTCCCTGTGAAGCTAAAGGATTTCCAGCAACGGCCTGCAAAGCTTAGAAAACAATGCCAAACCTTGCCATCCGACTGCGCCTTCAGATTCCTCTTGTTGTCGTTATTGGAGTTGAGGGGCCCTTGTTCCTTGGCGATTTAGGTTCTTTTGGTTAGGAGCTTTTGCGTGGAGGAAATCCTGCACTCGCCACATGCCCAGCATCCCATTCCCCACGTTCCCTGCCAGTCTACCCATGCTCACGAAACATCATCCAGCGACTTGCGGCACGGGCTGAGGCATCGGCCGAGTGGCCCAGTGCGCTGGCAGTGCTGCAGAGCATGACGAAGGCACGGCCAACACGCCAGGGGCCAGTTGAGGAGGTTCCTCAACGAAATGCCTGGCTTGTGGACTTCAACGCTTCGCTTGGGTGAAAAGCTGTTTGTGTGTTTTTTCTTGTGCCCTGAGAGAGCTCGGCTGGTGAACATCCTGCCGAGACTTGGCATTTCGTGGAGCTTCGGCTAGTCACACCTTATGCATTTTACGTGATGTGGCAGTTTGCGGCCAAGATGCTTGACAGTAATGAAGCTCAGATAGACCACCGCTTGGCCAGCGCTCACATGCAGCACAATGTCAAGATGGGCTTAGACATTAAAAAAAGCTAAGTTGCGCGAGGCTTGAACAGTGGTGTTGTTTGTTTGATGGTCTTTGGCGCAAAGACAGCTGCAGCCGGCTCGCATGTTTTAGCCTCGCTGCCCACGTGTTTTGTGGCGTCGTTTCCTCCTACACAAGCTTGGAATGGGATTGGCTCAACATTTGTTACCCAGAAGTCATCTTGCTATCTGCAACCCAGGTTTGCGAGCCACATGCAGTCGGAGGGCTTGCATGAAGAGACCCTCAGAACAGTTTCGGCAATAATCATGGAACAACAGCTTTAGACCGTTAACCACTTTGAACCTTTTAACTGAAAACGCGGACCTAAAAGCATCGTTACAGGTGCAACTTCGGATTGCGGGTTTCGCCCTCGCCTGTTTCCAAGAGAGAGAGAGGGGGAACAAGACATGAATGGGCCACATGCCAGTCAGCACTGCTGCCGGACGCTGTGAGCTACGGTGCGGCAATCAGTGCCTGCGAGAAGGCCAGTCCAAATTGACTCTGAGCGGGGCGTCAGAGGCAGGTTGTGATCTCCCCATAGGTCAGAGAAAGGGTGGCAAACCTGCGTTGACCGTTGCATGACTTGAGGGAGCCAAGCAAAGGAACATCTCCAGTGAAGATAGGCACATTTTGCGCGAGGCGACGGCCAAGCTCCAGCGTACGGCCACATGAACAGAACACGGGCACACTGGCACAGGGTCTCTAGCTGGACGTTGTTTTCCCTGCCAAATTCAAACACCCTCATTTGTTAGATTCTCATAGGCAGCATGGCCCAAGTTGATGTTCCACATGGCGTTTGTCTCAGAAACCCGCAAGGGACTATATCTGTGCGCTTGGTTTCCAGATTTTGCTAGAGTGGTGCAGAGACAGGGCCCAGCAAAATCTATATAGCAACTCGACTATTTGGGAGAGGGGCCAACCCTGACTGGCACCCATTTGCACTGGTTCTGTTTCCAGCCTTGACCATACGGCCCCCCTTTCGTGGCCATGGATCTATGGATCTCGTGAGGCCAGCTGTTGGCCTTGGGCTTTGTGGCTGCTGGGGGCCATGGAGCAAGAGGCCTGCAAGCGATGCCATGGAAAGGCAACCCCACAAGGGTACTACAGTAATTCCCCTCAAACAAACATACATCCACATTTCAGTTGCAAATCTCAAATGACTGTCCAGTGACACATTTCGGACACTACTGTGACTTGAATGCCTGTGACTTGAATGCCGCGTGTGTTTCTTCGGCTTTTTGATATTTGCAGAGGGTAGATTGATTGATAGGTAGGTAGGCAGATAGACAGATAGATAGGTAGATAGGCAGGAGGGCAGGCAGGCAGGCAGGCAGGCAGGCAGATAGAGAAGTTTGTGAGCACGCACATGCATACATACATACCTTGCTTCCTACCATCCTACCATCCTACCATTCATACATACGTACATGCATGCATGCATGCATGCATACCTATATATGTATGTATGTATGTATGTATGTAGGTAGGTAGGTAGGTAGGTAGGTATGTATGTATGTATGTAGGTAGGTAGGTATGTATGTATGTATGTATGCAATGTATGTATGTATGTATGTATGTATGTATGTATGTAATGTAATGTAATGTAATGTAATGTAATGTAATGTAATGTAATGTAATGTAATGTAATGTAATGTAATGTAATGTAATGTAATGTAATGTAATGTAATGTAATGTAATGTAATGTAATGTAATGTAATGTAATGTATGTAATGTAATGTATGTAATGTAATGTAATGTATGTATGTATGTAATGTATGTAATGTATGTATGTATGTATGTATGTAATGTAATGTAATGTAATGTATGTAATGTATGTATGTATGTATGTATGTATGTATGTATGTATGTATGTATGTATGTATGTATGTATGTATGTATGTATGTATGTATGTATGTATGTATGTATGTATGTATGTATGTATGTATGTATGTAATGTATGTATGTATGTATGTATGTATGTATGTATGTATGTATGTATGTATGTATGTATGTATGTATGTATGTATGTATGTATGTATGTATGTATGTATGTATGTATGTATGTATGTATGTAATGTATGTAATGTAATGTAATGTAATGTAATGTAATGTATGTATGTATGTATGTATGTATGTATGTAATGTATGTATGTATGTATGTATGTATGTATGTATGTATGTATGTATGTATGTATGTATGTATGTATGTATGTATGTATGTATGTATGTATGTATGTATGTATGTATGTATGTATGTATGTATGTATGTATGTATGTATGTATGTATGTATGTATGTATGTATGTATGTATGTATGTATGTATGTATGTATGTATGTATGTATGTATGTATGTATGTATGTATGTATGTATGTATGTATGTAATGTATGTATGTATGTATGTATGTATGTATGTATGTATGTATGTATGTATGTATGTATGTATGTATGTATGTATGTATGTATGTATGTATGTATGTATGTATGTATGTATGTATGTATGTATGTATGTATGTATGTATGTATGTATGTATGTATGTATGTATGTATGTATGTATGTATGTATGTATGTATGTATGTATGTATGTATGTATGTATGTATGTATGTATGTATGTATGTATGTATGTATGTATGTATGTATGTACGTATGTATGTATGTATGTATGTATGTATGTATGTATGTATGTATGTATGTATGTATGTATGTATGTATGTATGTATGTATGTATGTAATGTATGTATGTATGTATGTATGTATGTATGTATGTATGTATGTATGTATGTATGTATGTATGTATGTATGTATGTATGTATGTATGTATGTATGTATGTATGTATGTATGTATGTATGTATGTATGTATGTATGTATGTATGTATGTATGTATGTATGTATGTATGTATGTATGTATGTATGTATGTAATGTATGTATGTATGTATGTATGTATGTATGTATGTATGTATGTATGTATGTATGTATGTATGTATGTAATGTATGTATGTATGTATGTATGTATGTATGTATGTATGTATGTATGTATGTATGTATGTATGTATGTATGTATGTATGTATGTATGTATGTATGTATGTATGTATGTATGTATGTATGTATGTATGTATGTATGTATGTATGTATGTATGTATGTATGTATGTATGTATGTATGTATGTATGTATGTATGTATGTATGTATGTATGTATGTATGTATGTATGTATGTATGTATGTATGTATGTATGTATGTATGTATGTATGTATGTATGTATGTATGTATGTATGTATGTATGTATGTATGTATGTATGTATGTATGTAATGTATGTATGTATGTATGTATGTATGTATGTATGTATGTATGTATGTATGTATGTATGTATGTATGTATGTATGTATGTATGTATGTATGTATGTATGTATGTATGTATGTATGTATGTATGTATGTATGTATGTATGTATGTATGTATGTATGTATGTATGTATGTATGTATGTATGTATGTATGTATGTATGTATGTATGTATGTATGTATGTATGTATGTATGTATGTATGTATGTATGTATGTATGTATGTATGTATGTATGTATGTATGTATGTATGTATGTATGTATGTATGTATGTATGTATGTATGTATGTATGTATGTATGTATGTATGTATGTATGTATGTATGTATGTATGTATGTATGTATGTATGTATGTATGTATGTATGTATGTATGTATGTATGTATGTATGTATGTATGTATGTAATGTATGTATGTATGTATGTATGTATGTATGTATGTATGTATGTATGTATGTATGTATGTATGTATGTATGTATGTATGTATGTATGTATGTATGTATGTATGTATGTATGTATGTATGTATGTATGTATGTATGTATGTATGTATGTATGTATGTATGTATGTATGTATGTATGTATGTATGTATGTATGTATGTATGTATGTATGTATGTATGTATGTATGTATGTATGTATGTATGTATGTATGTATGTATGTATGTATGTATGTATGTATGTATGTATGTATGTATGTAATGTATGTATGTATGTATGTATGTATGTATGTATGTATGTATGTATGTATGTATGTATGTATGTATGTATGTAATGTATGTAATGTATGTATGTAATGTAATGTAATGTATGTAATGTATGTATGTATGTAATGTATGTATGTATGTATGTATGTATGTATGTATGTATGTATGTAATGTATGTATGTATGTATGTATGTATGTATGTATGTAATGTATGTATGTATGTATGTATGTATGTATGTATGTATGTATGTATGTATGTATGTATGTATGTATGTATGTATGTATGTATGTATGTATGTATGTATGTATGTATGTATGTATGTATGTATGTATGTATGTATGTATGTATGTATGTATGTATGTATGTATGTAATGTATGTAATGTATGTATGTATGTATGTATGTATGTATGTATGTATGTATGTATGTATGTATGTATGTATGTATGTATGTATGTATGTATGTATGTATGTATGTATGTATGTATGTATGTATGTATGTATGTATGTATGTATGTATGTATGTATGTATGTATGTATGTATGTATGTATGTATGTATGTATGTATGTATGTATGTATGTATGTATGTATGTATGTATGTATGTATGTATGTATGTATGTATGTATGTATGTATGTATGTATGTATGTATGTATGTATGTATGTATGTATGTATGTATGTATGTATGTATGTATGTATGTATGTATGTATGTATGTATGTATGTATGTATGTAATGTATGTAATGTATGTATGTATGTATGTATGTATGTATGTATGTATGTATGTATGTATGTATGTATGTATGTATGTATGTATGTATGTATGTATGTATGTAATGTATGTATGTATGTATGTATGTATGTATGTATGTATGTATGTATGTATGTATGTATGTATGTATGTATGTATGTATGTATGTATGTATGTATGTATGTATGTATGTATGTATGTATGTATGTATGTATGTATGTATGTATGTATGTATGTATGTATGTATGTATGTATGTATGTATGTATGTATGTATGTATGTATGTATGTATGTATGTATGTATGTATGTATGTATGTATGTATGTATGTATGTATGTATGTATGTATGTATGTATGTATGTATGTATGTATGTATGTATGTATGTATGTATGTATGTATGTATGTATGTATGTATGTATGTATGTATGTATGTATGTATGTATGTATGTATGTATGTATGTATGTATGTATGTATGTATGTATGTATGTATGTATGTATGTATGTATGTATGTATGTATGTAATGTATGTAATGTATGTAATGTATGTATGTATGTATGTATGTATGTATGTATGTATGTATGTATGTATGTATGTATGTATGTATGTATGTATGTATGTATGTATGTATGTATGTATGTATGTATGTATGTATGTATGTATGTATGTATGTAATGTGTATGTATGTATGTAATGTATGTATGTATGTATGTATGTATGTATGTATGTATGTATGTATGTATGTATGTATGTATGTATGTATGTATGTATGTAATGTATGTATGTAATGTATGTATGTATGTATGTATGTATGTATGTATGTATGTATGTATGTATGTATGTATGTATGTATGTATGTATGTATGTATGTATGTATGTATGTATGTATGTATGTATGTATGTATGTATGTATGTATGTATGTATGTATGTATGTATGTATGTATGTATGTATGTATGTATGTATGTATGTATGTATGTATGTATGTATGTATGTATGTATGTATGTATGTATGTATGTATGTATGTATGTATGTATGTATGTATGTATGTATGTATGTATGTATGTATGTATGTATGTATGTATGTATGTATGTATGTATGTATGTATGTATGTATGTATGTATGTATGTATGTATGTATGTATGTATTAATGTATGTATGTATGTATGTATGGTATGGTATTGTATGGTATGGTATGGTATGGTATGTTATGTTATGTATGTATGTATGTATGTATGTATGTATGTATATATATATATAATTTTGCCTTTGGGGATCCTTGTTTCTCATTGAACCCACCCAACGCGAGTCCATTTTGAGGTTTGTCCCACATCCCTATCTCCAAATATGCGACCGTCGCAAGCGCCCCCGGCCCAACCCACCGTCGGAGGACGTGGTCGCCTGCTCTGCTGCCATCTCCGCCCTCGAGAAGGCCTCGCGCTGGGCGGAGGCGGTGGACCTTTTGGCCGCCATGGCGGCGCCTCGGCCGCAAGAAGTCGATCGGTGCGCGCCGAGGTGTGACAGGGAAGGTGGGGTCGGTCCGTGGCCTCCACGACGGAAGAGGAAGCTTTCCGTTTATGTTTGCCACCGATCTATGATTGGAAAGAGGGTAAGGAAGGGGGGATTTGATATATGGGACAGGTTTGGGGACGCCCAGCAACGGTCGGTTTGGAATGTTTGTTTGGGTACTGCCCACTATTTGGGTGCTATCCAATTGTTTTTATTATTTCGAATCTTATTGTACGGCCCAGCGTCTGTGGTTCGACTGCAAGCAGCAGAGCTGGTCAAGTGGCGATTCAGGAATGGACAGGTTCCAGCGTCGTTGGACCAATTGATGTCATGGGCGGAAGTTGCGCAAAAAGTCACGAGAACCAAAGCAGAGCTGCGGTGATCAACGCGCGCGGCAATCTTGATCGACAGTGTTGGCGTGGGCTTTTTTCAAGCGTGGATCGGTCGGAGTAGGGCATTAGCTGCTTGCGCGGGCACATCCGAGCTAGAATGGGAATCCCAGGCACGTTGATCGACTGTGTTGGCGCGCTGGTGGGTTGCTGGCTGGGCCTGAAGCTAGTCTCAGGTGGTTGGGCAGCTGGCTGGGTGTCAGGCTAGTCTCAGACAGGCGTGTTCCAACATATTTGCAACAAAGCTGGGCCCACAGAGCTGGACGCCGACCGACCGGAAATTTCAAGGCCCGCCGGACAGGATCTTGGGCCGGGGGAGAAGCAACTTTGGAAAAGAGATCTGCGCGTCCTTGGCTTGCTTGGGGCTGAGGCGAATTCTTATTTGCATATGGGGTTGTTTCAAAATGGTTGGTTTCCTTCTGGTCCCCCTTTTCCAATCCAAAAAGGGTGGCCTTAAAAAAAGACATGCGCGCAGACATACACATCCAGCTTGCCTTTGATGGCTCGCCCTGCTCAGCACATTTACATGGACAATTGTCACAAGGCCCGGTCGGGGGGCCCATGGAAAAACATCCAACCCGTTTTGGTTTAGTCGCCCCCCTTTGCTCACGTGCAAAGAATTGTGCCAACTGTTTATGGCTTGGCAGGTATGAAGGCATTGACCGTGTGAGAACCATGCGTTTGCTCAAGTTGTATAGATGACAAGCAAAAGTTTTGTTCAACTCGAGGATGAGGGCTTGATGTGACCACAAGCATGTTTATCCAGTTTTCTCCACGACCAAACTGTTTGTTGCCAGGGGTGTTGTATGGGCATGCCTCACAGAGGCACATGCTGCAATTGTAAGCAAAAGCAGATCGAGCTGGGCTGTGGGCTCGAGTCCGCGCCCTGCAAAGCTGTCCTGTGAAAGCTCTGCGTTTCAAGTGGGGATACGGGACCAATCCAGGCGGTTGGTTTCATTTTAGTTTCCCTTAAACACCAACCCAAAGGGGACCACCAATTTGAGAAGCGGCCATGTGATCCTTGTGAACGTTTGAGATTTGCTTAGTATGTGCCTTAGCTTTTGAAGAGCTTCATCCTGGCGGCTCCGACTCAAAGTGATCTAAGGATCGGCAGGTGCCGCCCAACGACATAAGCGACGCAGCTCAATGAGAGCCTGGCTGATTTCTCGGCTCTCGTGCCATGGGATTTTGGCCAAAGGAGCCAAGGACAAGACACGATGTTGGACCTTCAGCAAGGTGGACCTTCAGCAAGGTTGCGAGTTAGCTTCATTCAGGCTTGATTCAAGTCGGGAAACGGTGCAGCTTGGCAGGCCAGCCCCAGTGAGATCCTGTGGCATTTTGTCCTGAGGAGATGCTGCAAGCTTGTGACCCTGTTGATATTTGCCTTCTTTTCGAGGTTCTAGTCACAATTTGCTGGACATGTTCTTGCATCAAGTTCGTTTTGGGCTGCCGTAAGAGGAGCCACGTGTGTTGCAGCTTAGTTTTTTCGAGGATTCTCCGATACACCCCACGATGTGTAGATGTTTCTTTTGAGCTTTCTCTTGTCTCCAACCGCATGTTGTTCGGCTACCTGTGCTTGCAGAACTGCCACACTTAGGTTTTAACAGCGCCATCAGTGCCTGTGCCAATGAGGGATGCTGGCAACAAGCCTGGTGGCTGCTGCATTGCATGACGACAAGCTTCTCGCCTCCACTGCAGGGGGATGCTCATGGATGCTCATGGATGCTCTTGCAAGATACCCTCTGGGATAGGCAAACATGCCCATAACTTGGCCGAATGTCACTACTTTCTTCCAACACCTTTGATTGTTCACATGCTTGAAACCTCCAAGCATTCGATTTGTGGAGCGCGACTGTTTGCCTGCGCTTCTATCGTGGGTGTGCTCCTTGGAGATTGGAAGATCCCAGGTCCAGTGTCAGCCCCCAGTGTCAGCCCTCGCTTGACGCACAACACGTCGCCAAACGGAATCCGATCACATGCTCTACAGGCCCAGATTGAAGCACCGCTCCTATTATTCTGGAACCACTTCATGGAGGAATCTCTAGAGGATGAAGCCTTCTCTCTAGCTTCGCCAGATCCATTCATTGACAGGTATCATTTGCGAACGCAGCGCATTGTGTGCTGACACATGTCTGTAACCTACAACCCATGCCACGCATACATCACAATGCACTTTACTCAGACCTGTCACTTACAGGGGCAGCTGAGGGCAAAGGACACAAGTTTGGTTGCCAGATTTCGACGCTGCCTGGGCTCCAACAAAACATATTTCCCGAACGCCCTGCGGAATGGCGCTTTTCCGATGATTTTTGCACGGGTTTCAAGAGAAGAGTACGGTTAATGTATCCTGCACCTTGCTCGGGGATTTGTCTTTCACCGTTGTTTCACGGATTCTGTTCTTGCTCCAGCTGAGGATGGTTGGAGCGCAGCATCATCTCTTTCAGTGCCTTGACCTGCAGCTAACACTCTGCGAGCGCTGGTTTGGAATGAGCAAGTGGGCTTTGGGTGGCTGTGCTTCAAAAGTGCCGGCCAAAAAGGCGGAATAAGGCCCTAAGTTTGGCTGAACACATTCGGCCAAGAACATGACTATTCGCTTTCAGCCACTAGCCATTCAGGCTTGCTTGAATAAATGCAGTCTGGCGCTGTCGTCTTGCTTGCTGCAAATTTGTTTTTTGCCGGAGTTTTTCAACATGTCTGGTCTCAGCCTCAGGTTTCACGTTGTTCGTGTCTTGGACCTCTGGTATGCAACCAAAGAAGTACTGTCCCAATTTCATACCGACAGGTGCTGCCATCAGCGCATGCGAGGGCAAGGCGCTCTGGCGACACGGGATTTTCCTGGTGCAAGCCATGCTGGTGGCGAAATGTACCCCCGACGCCTGGGGCCCTGGTGCCGCCCCGTTTTTTTCGTTTTTGTTTTTCGTTTCGCAAGGCGCTGGGATGAAAGTCTCCTGGGCGCTTGGAGGTGAGGGGATCCAAGTTCGGGGCTGTTGCACATGCAAGTCTCGAGCACATGGATCAACGTGGAATGGTGCGTTGAAGAAACGCACTTACATGCAGAAGAAACATCAAATATCAGTTTGAGGGACATGATGGGGAGTGGACGCGCGATCCGGCATGGCGCAGTTGTTGCTTGCTTGCTAGAGCTTTGCTCCGAATTCATTTGGAGCAGGCATTGCATTTTAAGAGCAATCATTTGCTTATCAGTTAGCAGGGTGTTCAGACCTTCAGAATGTCATCAAGACACACCAAGACAACAGGACCAGGCAAGCATCGTCTAAGCCCAATACAGTCTTATTTGCTGTTGCTTCTAGGCTCGTATTGATAGCCGCGTTCACCCTTGAATGGATGACATCGGCTTGCAGCCATAAGCAGGCCGCAGTGTCCGGACTGCAGTGAGAGTATACCCAACGTGGTCAAACGGCCAGCTGACAGAGCACGGAACCCTGAGTACCTTTTCAAAACGCCATCCTCATGCGCCTTCTGCTGTAGTCCATGCGCCCATATTACCACCGATCCCTGTGATGTAAAAGCCGGTGTCCTTGGTGCCTGCCACAGGCTTGGGGAAGTCAAGTAGAACGGGACTGTACCGGGAGTTTCGAACCCACCTTTCAACCCAGGGTGTGAAGTGGCCTTGATAGTTGCGCGAGCACGGATTTATTGTTCATGCCCAAACATCTCTTGCTCCTGGTATGCTGTCACTCAGGTCATTGCTTTGAACTCTGCTTTGGGCGTGTGCGAAGCAGCAAGGCGGAACCGTCATGGGGCTTGAATGGATCGGCGTGATTGGAACAGAAAAGCTGTGGGCTACTGTAGGTTGGTTGCCACAGAGATAGATGCATGTCACACCTCAAGGATGGCTTTGGCCAACATTGCCATCAAGGGACACATGCTATTTGACCCTTTGGGTCCAAGCTGCATTGACGTTACCCATCTGGCCCAGGCCATGCTTGGCGATCTCGGGCAAATGTTCGGGGACGTGGCTTTTGGTGCCGTTGGTTCTGAGGTTTCGTGGAAGTGACAGGTACTTAAAGCGGCAGGGTGCTCGGAAGTGGTTAGTGAGCCTGGTTACAACCCACTTGGGAGACTTATAAACATGGCTTCTGCGGGTTAAACCCATGGTGATTGCTCGCTGACCTGACGTACCTGCCTTAAGTTGGTCTGTACCCGCATCGCTCTGCAGGCAGTGGCGCCCAGCGGTGGCGCTGCTCGCCAGCGCGGCGGCTTGGGCGCTTCAACCTGAGGTTATGAGCTGCAACATGGCGCCTCGGAGTCCCCGGGGCTGAGGGCGGTTGGGGCTGAGAGGGCCCGGCCAAGGGAAGGTCGGGTCCAGATAAAAAAGGAGGCCGAAGTCGACCCTCCCCTTCCCCCTCACCTCCCCTCCCTACTCCTGCCTTTCTCTCATTTGGCCTGCCTGTCATTCTATCTGTGTGCATGTCTTATTTGGTTCCGTTTCCTTTTTTTATCCTTTTGTTTCGGCTCTGTTTGTTTGGTTGTGTTGGATTGTTTGGTGTTTGTGTGCTGCTTGCTTGCCTTGCCTCGCCTCGCCCCGCCTTCTTGCCTTGCCTTGCTTTGCTTGTTTGCTTGCGTGTTTCTTGGGTTGGAACTTCCCACAAATCCAAACATCGGTCTTGCCCGGAGGTAGCCTTGCGTTGGTCGGTATTCTTGTGTGCCACGGTCATAGTAATCTATGGTAATGTGTATATATATATATATGTATATACACACATAAACATACATGCACCACTCATCAGAGTTAAATGTATTGGCCAGCCAGCGTGAGACCAGCAACGCAGTGTTGCTTTGCTACTACTTTGTGTACTTGACTGACAGGCGTCTCCTGTTTTCCCACAACTTAACGCATTTTAAGCAGGAAATGAAACACAGCGCCTTTCCGCCCCAGCCACAGGTGCTGGGGGCATGCGCGAAGAGCCTTCGCTGGCAATCGGCCCTCGGACTACTGGAGGAATTCGAGATGTGGAGGCCCGTTTGAATGCCACTGGCAGGGTGGCTTTGAGTGGCCTAAAGCTTACAGTTGGTGAATGCCATCCTGGCTGTTCGTGATCTTGATGCGTGGTGTGCAAGTGCAACACTGTGGTTGTGGGGCAATCTTGCAAAGGGTGTTTCAAATTGAGGCTAGTAGCACGTGGTGTTTGGCCTTGAGATCCTTGATGACTGGGCCCACACGTTTGAATCTGCTTACTACCTTCTTGGTGTCCCGAATCTCGCGTCAAGAAGCGCGCCGTCCACATTCAGCGTCGTTGGCTCGGGGTCGTTGTTTGTGTCATGTTTGGGCAAGAAAAAGGAGGACCCCACCTGGATGTCGCAGCCTGGGCTGGCTTTTTGCAATGAGAGATGCCGGTTTTCGACAGACTGCAATTAGTATTTGAGGCTTGTTCTTCCTGTTGCCAGGGCTCGGATTGTCTAGGTGAGCGTGCGAGCTAGATTTTCTCTTTTTCGGCTCTTCCCACTAGCTTCGTCCGAGCTGTGTTTGCGAGTTGAGAGGAAGATTCGAACGCGGGAGGTTTAATGTATAGCACCCCCTGTCGGCGAAACGATGAACGTACCTTGCAGGTTGAAGCCTTCAATCGTCAGCTTCAACACAGCTTCTTGCTTGCACTGTCGGGTGTAAAATAGTGCTTGAGAAAACGAAGGGTCCTCAACTTGTTTTCAGGTCAGAAGGTCAATGGTGGAAGACATTGTGGCTCTCATTGTGTGGAGCTTAAATAGGCTTGTTGTGGTCCAGCACTGGTCGCAAGCAACCTGATACAACCACACATATTGCTGGACCCACGAGGCCAGTACTGTATCAGTCCTTTCGGCTTGTGTCTTCGGCCACTCGTGTAAAAGCGAGCCCAAGTCTGATCAGATGCTTAACATACATTTGTTTAAGCAGACATGAGGCTGCGTGCCGGACGGAGTTGTGGCTACGCGAGAGAACAGTCGAGTTCTGGCCGGTCCAAACATCGCGATTCACATTGCCTCACATTGGTGTCGCAGTGAATCGCAGAACGGGTCCGAATCCATTCAAGCTAGGAAACTGTGACTTCATGCCATTCGGTATAGCCACTACTAGGTGTCAGCACGCTTTGCTTGAACCGAAGAAACCTGGGCCTAACATGGGTTGAGGCCTCCGCTCCACATGATGTGATGCTGCGCTAAGTCATATTTCAGTCGCCCGGGCTAAACATACCGCCGCTTGCGGGCGAGGTTTTGAGCGCTTTGGACCAATGCCAGCTCCCGTGGCAGTATGCCCTGGGAGTTTTGCAGCTTGGAGACCAGATTGTGTTCTCTCTTTCTGTATCTTTCTGTATTTGTCTGTATCTTTCTCTGTTTCCCTCTCTCTCGCGCTCTGTCTTTTTCCCTTCTTGGCAGGTTGTTTGCCTGGCTGGCGGGCTGGCCATCTGTTTGTCTGTTTCCGTCTGCCGTCTTTGTAAGGGGCCTTGCACGGCGTGGGCATCTGCTCTTTATGGCTCTTGGCTTCGTCATCACTGCACATTACCATGGGTGATCAAGCAAACTCAATCTGGGGCTTTGGGCTTTTGATTTCTGCAGTTGAGTGCTAAGGGTTCTCTTCGGTTCAAGGATCACGACAGATGTAGACCTTGATAGCCATCTTGGTGGAACCAAACATTAGCGATCTTGCGAAATGTGCTAGCGGCTCTTCTTTGTGGCGCATGTTCTGGATATGAGTGCTAAAGTCGAGGCATCCCTTTTTTTTCCTTCTCCAGTTGGTTCGGCTTACATAGTTGGTGTATGGGAACAGTTGGAACACTTTGAGTGTTCTTGACATTCAAGAACAGCAACCGCTTTTTGTACAGCTTGGAAGGTATTTCACGTGATATTTAGAGAGGCCAATGTCCCCAGCCCTGCGTTTTACGTGAAACAAGGCGGTTTTTTGATATGTCACAAGAGGTTTTTGTTGGGGGTCAGAAGCATAAGAGGCGCAGCGATGGGAACCTTGGCTTCTGCAATTGCTGATTGCTTTCCAAGTTCATGGCACGTAGCACGATAAGGCAATTCAGCTTTTGATCTGGTGGTTTGCCCCCTTTTCTTGCGTTTGCCTTGCCATTCCATCTGTTATTTGCACCCTTGCATCTGCATCTGGCACTGCGTCTGGCATCTGCATCTGTCATTTGCGCCCTTGCATCCTCATCTGGCAGTGCCTGTTTGTCTCGCAGCCTTCTTTGCTCTTGCTGTCGCCCGTGAACATCCGCACGCAGACATGGCCTTGGAAGCCAAGAGCATGAGCTATGATGACCTCAATGAGGTGGTGGAGGGGCTCACTTGCAGGCCTATTAATGCAGTTTACACTCCTGAGCAACCGCGGGGCATCTTCAATATCACCACCTTTCCCATGCGCGACCTCAGCGCCAATGACAATCCCGTACCGCAATGCCCCACCCACTCTCTTCCCTCACCCTTCCCAATCTCCTTTCTCTCGCTTGCAGGTCATGATGAGTGAAGAAGTGAGCGAAGAGACAGGACAAGCAACGAAGAGAAAGGGACAGAGATACTACTATCATAGAAGCATTTCCAAATTCTAAGAGATATAAAACAGAAATGCTTTGCATCTCTTGCATTCCCTTTCTCCATTCTTACCTCTCATGCCACTCCCAAGATTACAAAAAGAGAATGGGAATGACAGGCCCAAGATGATTGGGAAAGAGATAAAGAGTCAAGAGTCTCGGACAGCAATAAAGAGATTCCAGCCTGTCTAGCTTTCACTCACTTCCCTTCTCTTGACCTCCCCCCTTTCCCAAAGTGACTTAGAATTGGGGAAGAGATTGGGAAAGAGAAGGTGAATAGAGGTGAAGGAAGAGGAATTCATGTGCAACTGCTGGCAAGAACTGGCCAGCTCCTATCTCTCTCTTCACCGCCGCAACGGCCAGGAAAGAAGAAACAAATGAAGAGATAGGAAAGACAATTAGAATAAAGAACCCAGATGACATGAAAGACATTCTAGGAAGCTGTAAGGAAGCTGTAGGTGACGCTAGAGATGAAAGGGAGAACAGAGAGGTAAGATAGAGGTTTGACATCTAGCTGCAGAAGGTATCTCTGAGAAGTGTGTTAGTGATAGAGATGACAGAGAGACTGATGTAGGCAAGAGATGGAAAGGTCATAAGGTCAGATACTAATTGGCCATCCCCCCCCTCTCGCCAATTAACTCGGCGTATCTTCACTGCCTTAGACTGCTTCCATGATCTGCATCTCGTGCTGGGTCCAAAATCTGAGCGCCCTGTCAAGCATGTGGCAAAGTAGCAAAAAGACTCAACAAAAACCAAAAAACGCACCTCCAGACAAGTACTTTCGGCAACGCAAGCCCGTCATACCAAAACATTTCCCTCATATCTTTTGTTTTTTTTTGGTTGTCGGTTTTCCCGAGGTTTTTCGAGTTCTGGTTCTCCCCTGTCATACCAAGACATTTCCCTCATATGTTTCCCTCATAAGTGAGGCAGTGTTAGGTTTGTTTGTTTTGTTTTTTGTTTTCTCGAGGTTTTTTGAGTTTTGGTTCTCCCCCAAAAACGCAGTGCTGGGGACATTGGTTTCTGGATAGCAAATGGCCTGCGGCCTGGTTTAGGGCTCAGAATTTCAGCCCGACTGCGCATGCGCCTACACATACGCACACACGCACACGCACACGCACACGCGCACACACACGCACACGCACCCGCACCCGCACCCGCACCCGCGCACGCACCCGTACACGCACACGCACACGCACACGCACACGCACAAGCACACGCACACGCACGCGCACGCGCGCACGCGCGCCCACGCGCACGCGCAAGCGCACGCGCACGCGCGCGCACACACACCCACACCCACACACACCCACATGCACCCCCACCCCCACCCCCACCCTCCTCCCCAACCCCCGCCCCCACCCCCACCCCCACCCCCGCCCCCCCCCACACACACTGTAACACACACACACACTAACACACACACACAAACACACGCGCACACTAACACGCACACACACTAACACACACACGCACACACTAACACACACACACACACTAACACACACACACACACACACACACTAAAACACACATTCAAACACAAACACACATAAACACACACTAACACACACACTGACACAAACACTAACACACACACACTAACACACACACACACTAACACACACAGACACTAACACAAACACACACACAAACACACACAAACACACACAAACACACACACTAACACACGCACACACTAACACAGACACACACACAAACACACAAACACACACAAACACACAAACACACAAACACACAAACACACAAACACACAAACACACAAACACACAAACACACAAACACACAAACACACTAACACACTAACACGCAAAAACACTAACACACACACACACACTAACAGACACACACGCCAACACACACACACACTAACACACACACACTAACACGCACACACACAAACGCACACACACACACACTAACACACACACACACACACACTAACACACACACACTAACACACACACACTAACACACACACACACACACACTAACACACACCAACACACACACAGACTAAAACACACGCGCCAACACACACCAACACACACAACCACACACACAAACACACACAAACACACACAAACACACACACAAACACACACACAAACACACACAAACACACACACAAACACACACACACACAACACACACACACACAATAACACACACTAACACACACCAACACACACAGACTAAAACACACGCGCTAACACACACCAACACACACAAACACACACACAAACACACACACAAACACACACACAAACACACACACAAACACACACACACAAACACACACACACAAACACACACACACACAAACACACACACACACAAACACACACAAACACGCACACACACAAACACACACACACACACACAAAAACACACACAAACACACACACACAAACACACACACACAAACACACACACACACACAAACAAACACACAAACAAACACACCAACACACACACAAACACACACACAAACACACACACAAACACACAAATACACAAACACACAAACACACAAACACACAAACACACAAACACACAAACACACAAACACACAAACGCACAAACGCACAAACGCACAAACGAACAAACGCACAAACGCACCAACACACAAACGCACACAAACACACACACAAACACACACACAAACACACACAAACACACACAAACACACACAAACACACACACAAACACACACACACACAAACACACACAAACACACACACAAACACACACAAACACACACACACACAAACACACACACACA